GAATATAAAATTTATAGAATATATTCCTCAATATCTCAAAGCTACTAAATAAACCTAGTCCAGGATTTCTTGTAAAAAGCAGTGGAGAAAATAAATATTTTCTTGGGATGTTATTTTAAATTTTATATTGAATACGAATCTCCTAAGGCAAAAAAACTAATGTTGGCTAAAGGGTTTTTCAAAAATATTACTGATTCTTACATCAGGTTTCAATTTTTTTCTCTATTACTATTCAAATGTTCATTAATCTCTTTCATTTTTGAGGAGTGTGCAGTCTGTAATTTTTTAATTAAAATATTATTAATTCCTGTTTATTAAAAATAACTTTGAAATTAAATTTTTCATCCCTCTCACTAAGCTTATTGTCAAGGAGAACATTGAAATTACAAATTTTGATTGCCAGAGATAATTTTTCAATTTCTTAGCTTTTTCAGAATTATCATAAAAAAGGGAATCAGGAAAATATCTAGGTTCAGATCTCTAAAACAATATTGCTTCATAGTTTTATACTATATATATCTATTTAAAAATACATATTAAACAAGGTCTTTTAAAATCAGTATTCTATTCTTTAAATTTATTAACAATTGCAATACTAAAACAAGAAATAAAGGATATTGTTTAAACCGAATAAATATTTTGAACCAACACCAATATTTTGTTAATCTTGGGTTTTTAATGTTGGTTCCCCCTATACTATAGTATAATTTAATTGCTTATATTTTAATTTCATGAAGCATTTCAAAATATTATGAAGGAATACTTCTTTTAATACCCATGATTTAATATTCTATTATTAAAGTAATGTTTAAAATAATATATTAATTCATCTTTTTACCTTCATATGCTTTATTAAGTTTGAACTGCTGGACATTGAGGTTTGCGTTGGGACACAATTTACATTTACAAAGTGTACACTTTGTACCCTTAATTTTCTTTATTGGTGTTAAATATGTTACTATTGGAAATCATTTTCATCTGAAGATGTAAATATTATTTTTAACACTTACTTTGAATTTTGATTGGATATTAATTTGATTAATATTCGAATGAAAATTTAACGGAATTTAATAAAAAAATGATGGAATAGTGGTTATATGAATTAAAAACTTAGCTTAAATTATTTATATTAAAAAATAAATAAAAGAAATTTATAGTATAATAAAAAATGTTTTTCTTTTTTTAATTATTTTTTAAGAAAAAATTTAAGTAACGCTTTGCGTTATCTTTACTCAAAAAAGAAAAGCGTTACCGTTACCTCAGTAGAAGATCACGAACGGTGTGTTTCTTTTCTTCAAAAAAATAACGAAATTAGTAACAACTAACATTTTGACGTTACTTTACAGCAGTATATACAATTGTTTTAATTTTATCTGGATTTCTTACCAGTAGATATAAAAGTATTTTATGAATTTAGCAGAAAATATCAAAAGATTAATTATAAATAAAAATATTGATAAAAGCAAATATTATAAAATTTTAATGGTTTAGATATTTTGTGGTAAACACATAAAAGCAAACAACGTTTGAAGGGTAAATGCCTAAATAAATTTTTATTTGTATAATTATAATATTTGTATTTATAACTATATAATCTAACATTATAATTATACTATCAAAAAAATAACTTATAACTTAATTATATATTTTTCCCCTCTTATTTAATCATATCATGTTTATTACTTAATTTTGTCCTAATAAAACGCCTTAATTTTGAATAATAAATAAATTCTTACAAGTTTTTCTTCTTATAAGTTATATAGGTTAAAATTTTGTAATATCTAATTTTGTATCAATCGCAAAAATGTACATCTTTTCTTGTCAGTTTTATTAATTTACGATGCGAGATAAACGTTTTATCCCAATTCTCAGCGTTTTCATGATGTCAACTTTGCTGTATTTAACGATGCTTTACCAACATTGGTATACGACGGAAGTTAATATAGCCTATAAAAAATATCGGTTTCGTAATCCAGACAAATCTAACCCTTTAGATGGGATTAAATATATTTATTCTGATCCATATACAGACATAAAAAATATCCATGATGAAATAAACGAAAATGAGAAGAGTCAATATCAGTTCTTAGACGAAAATTCTAACACAACGAATTATCCCAGGTTTCAGCTGCTAAATATTCCGAAAGCATTTTTTATTCACAATCCCTCTGAAATGTGTTCTGACATGGGTTGGCATTATGACTTTTCTTCTAAATTCCTAAATAAATCTGTTGATAATTATAAAATTAAATATAAAAATGAGCGAAATAATCCACCTAATGACGAAACCTTATCTCCCTTATATCAATCATATCTCAAATTCATAAATGATGGAATGAGCAATAGAGAAGACCAAGATTATTTGTTGAAAGAAAAACTCGACCCCGCATCACAATTAGGTAAGCAACATACCATTCCCTACAAACAAATGTCACTAATTATAGGCATATTCACTCGGCCCAAAGAGTTTGAAATGAGACAAAACGTAAGAAAAATATGGGCCTCTCCCTTTTCTGCTCACCTAAAGTCGAGCTACTCGATAAGTGATGGCTATATAGGAAGTTATTTGACATTTAACAATTCTCATAATGAAATGGTTGTTTGCAAGATTAAAACTGTGTTTGTCTTGGGAATTTTCGAGCCACAAACTGAAGAATTTATGAGCAAATCAGTTAATATAAGCAAACATGAAGTTGAAAGGTGGAATAAAAATTTTAATCGAGAAAGACGAGAAGTGCAAAAAGCTATAAATGCTGAATCGATGATTCACGGCGACATAATACAAGCTACCTTTGGGGAAAATTACCGAAATTTGTCTTATAAAACGGGCGCGCTTTTAAAATGGGTATCTATTCATTGTAATAAGGCCCAATTCTTGCTAAAGGTAGACATAGACAACTATGTCAGATTAGATATCTTGATGAGTGTTTTGGAAAAAATTACAACTGTTAGTATAGAATCGGCAGTTAATATAAATAAAATGGTCATCAATAATGAAAAATTTTCAAAGAATAATTCTCACAACAAAAATGATGCGTATATTATCGGCGATAACAACATTGAAAAAGAGATAACTCCTTTAGCCGAATTAATGGAATTCCAAAAGAATCTTTATTGCTATGTATGGGAAGGTTTATCAACCAATCGTGTATATGGCCACAAAAACTTTGTCGATAAGGAAGAATATAAGGCTGAGTATTACCCCAAATTTTGCAGCGGGTGGGGTTATTTAATGAGTCCCCAGTTAGCTGGAATCTTTTACAATTGGTCTCTTGAGTCTTCTACTAAGCCTTTTCCCAATGAGGATGTCTTTTGGACCGGTATCATACCCAAAAAAATTAAAGGGGTTCATTATAAGCCTTTGAATTCATTTTATAAATGGACAGATGATGATTCGGGTAATATACCTTATATATTCTCTTTTTACTCTGGCATAAAGCACCTGAGGAAGCTTTATTATCGTAATTCACATTTTTAGTAAATTATTCATTTCTATTTTTTTTAAGCAATTTGAAGTTAATTAAATGTATTACCTAAAAATATTCAAGTCTCAAAATAAAAAATGGACCTTAATTATCTTTCACACCCATAATATTAATAATCAATAAAAAAAAAATTATTTTAGAGTTGTTCGTATTCGGGGTCATGATTTTAAAATAAAACAACACCGATTTTGGGGTGAATTTGGAAAAAACGACAGTCCTTAACCTAAATTATGTAGTTCAGTAAAATCAACTTGACAGCAATTATTACTATTTTTTTTTCTTCAAATCTTCAAAACTACCACAATAGGACAATGGAAATAGTTTCTTAAGAAATGTTGGGATTTATGGAATCGGTAATTTTAATCTTTTTATTTTAAATATCCGTTAAGGTAAGTGATTCCACAAGCACGGTAATATTATATGCAAATTATAAATATTCTAAGAAATGATCGTTAATAGATTTAGTAGTCTACATTTAATTAATTTTGCTTTATTCATCATCCAGTTTCGATTGTACGTAATGTGGTGGGAGAATAGGCGATTAATATATGTCAGAATTAATAATTTTTAGAAAACAATGAAAATACGGAATAATCCTCTTGTATATTTATTGCAGCATCTTTGTATCCCCTCTATTGTAGAAACTGGTGTACAAGGGATTTTACATTCTTCCGCTCTAAATCCAGCTCCAATTTTTTATGCATTCACACACCTAAGATGATATCGTGCTACTTTTTTTCAATTCTATTTTTCTTCGATTATTTTTGAATATGATTATTTATTCCATTACTTTGTCTAATTTTTTTTAAAAATTAAATATAAGTAAATAAATAATCATTTTTGAAAAAATCTGATTTTCATTTAAATTTATTTGTAATTTTATGTTTTATTTTAAATTTTATTGTCAATATTAAGCCTTAAAATCAATTCATGGTCCTCTACAGTTTTCATAGACATTTTACCTTAAATTATATTATCTCATAACTCTTTTATATGGCTTAATTTTTATTTCATATAATTTTTCTATAATATATTTTCTTTAATATTAGAAATCCATTTAAAAAAAATTTTTTTTTTTAGAAAAATTAATAATAATTTATATCATATTTATTTAAAAATCGTTTGTAAAAATTTTAATAATATCCTTTAGTTGATTCAAATCGAAAAATTTATGGATTAGCACAGCCCTAATTATAAACTAATTTAGTCGAGTAAATCTATGGAACTCGACTATTGTAAAACGAGAGGTAGAATTAGTCAAATCAAAAAATATTTTTCTTAGTAATTTATTTTTAATAATAGTTTTTAAAATTAGTGATTTTGAAACCGAAATAAATTTGTTAAAAACCTAAGAAATGGAACTGAATAGCTAAATTGGTATGATATCCCGTTTAAAATTTTCTCCGCCACTCAAAAGATATTCAACCAAAAGACATTGATTGATAACAATAAAAATAACTAATATTTGAAAAATGAATAATTTACATAATAAAGATGTTAAAAAATTTATATTTAAGTCGTTCTATGATTTAAAATACATAAAATTATGTGGAAATTGTAAAAAAAAAATGGCAAAATTTATCGTTCGGCAAAGCATAAGCAACGGCAGCCTGTGATTGGGCATTCTTCATTATAACTAAAACATAATAATAAAATTTTATGTCTTTATAAAATAAAACACTATATATCAATGCTATAAAAGAAAGTAAATAGACGTTCCTTTTAAGGACATATAAACGTCATTAGTTACTTTTTATAAATTTAAATATAGCATAACTTGCCTAGCCGCAAAATTAAGGCTAGGGTCACATCAGAGCTTTTCACTCTAGCGCATAATGCTAAAAGATAGAATGTAAAAAAAATCGAGGATGTGAAAAATATATTTTCAAAAATTTTATTGTAAACAGATGTTAATTAGAATAATTGCCATATTTTATATTTTTATTATTTTTTAATAAACGCTCTTCGCCTTAGCCTAAGTTTTTTTTAACTACTTAAAAGTAGTTTCGAGCTCTACGAGTAGATATTTTTGTTAAGACAAGATTGTTTGTAAATTTTAACCTAAATACTCAAAATATTTCTTCTCCAAACTATGCATAAATATAATACCCGCAGTAAAAGGCGGAATCTAAAAGCTTAAAATTATTTTTTGATTAGATATGTATTGTATATACTCGAAGCTTTATAATATTTAAATTCAATATAGAAATGATTTTCTCCTAGATTTTATTTCCAAAGACAATAAAATATTATATCAATAAGAAATACTCTCTTTTTTTTCATTTAAACGAATAACTACAACTAACCTAAACCATTCGAGCATATGGGATGAATGCCCACCGTGATGACATGATTGACACCAGCAAAACCATTCCTTTAAAGCGTTCATTTTGTGACTTTTTGCGGGATCTGGTATAAATTTATCATAACTATATCTAAGACAATTTTATAAAAATATATAAAGGACATATAACCCATATAAAATAACTTTAAATTAACCACCCTTACATATGATATCATTAAAGTGTTATAAATAGACAAGAATGAAGAAGACAATAGTCATTAAAGAACCACCCTTCGAACTTTTGACAAAATCTATGTTATAAAAAACGGTAAGAAACTTAGAAATAGATAGTAACATATTTAAAAAAAATTTCCCACCAAGAAGGAGTGTTTAATAACGAAGCAATCCTCTTAAAAAGTTCTAATTAATAATAAAAATCTGAAAAAAGATTAAATTATTATTAGAATATTACATTTCATTTTACAATTTTTTTTAAAAATTAAATGTAAAAAAAACACCTTTATATTTGCTAAATATTCAAATGCACCATTTACCTATAATATTCTCTCCGGCATTAGTATCGAATGTCGCATCTTGACCTCTGATCCTAGTAGGTATCCTACTATCATCATCATCGATATTTGTTTGTGTTCTGAAATTTATGTTGGTAACTGCTAAAAAAAAATAAGGTTTTTAAAATTAATAGAAGATAATGAAAAGATCTATCGTATAACTTGGTGCGGAGTTTGGATTTAAGGTCCCATAATCGAGATTAGCTAAGCATATAGAGCATCTTGGTAGGGGTTTATTGCAATGGGGGCAATTGTTAGTCTTCTAATTTAAAGCGAGGAGAGGAATGGAAGAGACGGGACAGAAAATATATAATGATTTAAATTTCAAACGAGAATATTCTTAATTTAAAATATTCACCCTTTCAATAAAATACAGCCACATTTAAAATAATATAATTTTAAAAGATAAAAGCCTGGCCTATAAAATCGTTCTGCACGCAGGTATTTTAATGTATTTTCACTTAAACTTATAGAAAAAAATTTTTTTAATAAAAATTACGCTGGCCGTGTCCACTTCGATTCTTACCTAACAATCGACTGCAGCTACGACTAATAGCCTTAAAAGTAAAAGAAGAGAAATATAAAAATGTCATCAAATATTTAAGACAAACCAAAATAGGGTCCTAGTAGCCTACAAAATTAAGTCGAAGGAGGACACAGCCGTTCTGCCCATTTCCCTCTATTTTCAAATTTACCTTCCAAAATTTTTTCTAACCCGCCCCTTGCAGACTTCTACTCGGCGGGGCCCATTTTTTTAACCAATTCATGCTACATATTTCCACTCTACTGGGTTAGCTTTATGTAGCAGATAATGGTCAGGGGGTCGTTCCAAGATAAATTGATTAAAAATGAGATTTTAGGGATGACCATCTAAAACGAACGAAACTTGTCAAGATAGTTATATATGTTGCATATTTTCAGCAAAATCAAAATTTTAGAGCGGTCGCTCAATTAGAGATATACATACCTCTTCAAAGTCGAAAATTGTGCAATGCGTGATTTTAATAAATCTCAACAATGTTAATTTTACCGGAAATAAGAAAACAAATGGATTTTTTTGATATTTTTCAATCTAGAATTTTAAGGACTATAAAATTATATATAATTTATAACTCTTAAATATTTTTTGAAAAAAAGAAGATTTAATGTAATCGCGCATTGTGCCATTTACGACTTATAAGATGTACACCTTTAGAACTGGTTGAACTAGCTTAAAATTTTGATTTTATACCAAGTTTTATTCATTTTTGAGATGCCCAACTCCCTCTTCCTTCCCTAAAATGTTTTCAAAATTATAAACTTTTCTCAGATTAGGGATTTGATTCGGGTTAGGCATAACACTGTAAGTCGAAACGGCAGGGATAGGACGAGAAAATAAATTAGTACGGTTAAAAGAATCGCTAGGTGAATTAGCCCGGTTCTCGCTATCATTTTGTAGGTCGATTTGGGATATATGTTCCTCCGGAGAGAAGGAAGTAGATAAGGATCTGCCGCAAAAATTGCAGTTTACGAAAATCTTTTTTCAAACGAAAAATATGTTTATAAAATCAAATTAATTATAAACGCTTGTCTTATTCACTGATATATTTTATGATTTATTTTACAATAGATCAAAATTTAGTTCCCTAGAGGACCGTGAATGCTCGCGTAATTCGAGAGATAAACAAAGCCTGATATAATATCCCACATTGGCATTCCCCGTTTTACTTAAATATTTTTCTTACTAAAATTTGTATTGGTGAAAAGGCATCGTTTTCAAATATTTGCTAGTGTCGTGATAAATTTGAGGAATAAACAAGATATTCTGTAAATTCAAATATTACTTTTAATTTTTGGAATTTCTGATTGATAAATTAGTAAAGTGGATGTGTTTGATTTAGTGGAAAATTTGTTACCCGACCCAGAGAGTGATATCAACTAGCCTCCTATCACAATCAAGGGGAAAAAGATTAACAAGCACAAGAAAGAAGAAAATTTTGCCTTTGTGACTGATATTATTCATAGAGAAATGGTGATCAAGTGAACATTTACATCGTAAAAGGGTGGGTGGACTTATAAATAATACTGTCTTATATTTGTATAAAATTCTAGATTGGGGCGAGTATTGGTCCAAGAGTTATCACACTTTAAAAATTGGTTGTATGTAGCCGAAGAGAAATAATTTATTCCCAACTCAATATTAAAAAATTAAATAAATTTTTAAAGCTCAAATATATATATATATATATATAAATCGTTTCTACTTCTTAAATAAAAATTGAAAAAAATATAATATCCGCATTGAAATGCTCTTCAAAATAAAAACTCTTAAAAAGATCCCTGAATATTTTTTTAAATGCACAAATAGGATTTTTAATCAAATTTTACCTAAAATTCCAAATAAAGATTAACATTTAGGTGGAGTCTAAATTTTTGCTTATCAATTTAATTAAATTAAAAGAGGGTTTAGCCGATATGGATTTGCGCCAAAAGTATAATGTTAAATTTCACAATTTTTAAAATTTGTCTGTGGAAAAGAATAATTTACCTCATTTACTAGATTTCTAAAAAACATATACAAATGTGTATACATATGGTGTCTAAAAAATATTTTTTAGTATGGTTCTACGGCGCATTTAGTAACATTAGCCCCTTATTACCTTTTTTTTAAAGGGTATTGTAAAAAATAAAAATAAATTGGTACTTGAAAATCTGGTGGATAGATAAAATTTTCGCACATCTTGTAAAAATATATATCAAACTCAGCTCTATATATATTTATTTTTTAAAATAAAAAAAAATGTTAAAGTTAATTTGAATAATAATGATTAATAAAAAATAATTTATTAACCTCTTTTCCCAAAGCTGACCTCGATCCAAGTACGCTCTATAACTTTAAATTTACAAAAGAAAAGTGAATAAATTCATGAATCAATATATATAAGCAATAATTTGTTTAACAGAGTTTACAAAAAAAAATTTTCCCTCGAGGAACCGAAGATTTTTTCCAGCCCAAAAATTTGAGCAAGTAATTACTATCTTAGGAATACTGAATTATAATTATGCTCAAAGTTACTTTTATGTGCCGAATATATTTCATAATAATTACTCAAAAATAACTTTTTTTAAAAATTTTTATGTAAATATTTTAATAATTATGAGCAAATTTTTAATTTGATCTTCAAAAAATTTTACGACTCAGAAGATGATTACAAATTAAAAAGAAAAACGACCATGTCATCAGCAATATTCAAAATTAAGATATTCTCTTTAGATCCGTTGTCTTTTTCCTCTTTATTTATTGACATTCAAAGAAAAACGATCACATCATCAGCTATATCTAAAATTAAGATTTTATATTTCTCTTTAGTTCGTTATCTTTTTTTACTCTTTATTTATTAATAATACCAACGTGTCCACTATATTATACACATTATTTTATAATTGACAAAAAAAACATTTAAACTTAGTGACATGATTAGTAACGCAAAATCGCTCCATTTGAGCAGCTTTCTAAAAACGGTTAACTCAGTATTTTATCAAAAAAAAATATTACGTAAGTTTGAAAATTATGCTCATAGATGGTAAAAAGGTTTGAACTATGAGTTATCCGTTTTTGAAAAATGGGCTCAAATGGAGCAATTTGCATCACTAGACATAATAGCTCAAGAATATTATGGATTAAATTCCAATTTTATTAATAAACCTTTACAAAAAGGATATTCTCGACAATTTCTCCCACTTTTCAAAAAAAAAACAATTGTCTTTTAAAATATTTACCTATTAACCCAATTCAGAAATGTTTGGCTTCTCACGAGATCGGCAACCTTGGAATGCATAATCAAAGCTATGGGAATGGTAATGTCGTTAGTTCTATTTACAAAATTTTGCAGCAATTTTAACCAATTTTTGTTTTTGTGATACATATCCTCGCAATCCTCTTCTTCCGAGGTACCTAAGCCTGAAAAATAGTTAGGTATAAAAGAGGAAAGTCAGAATTGATAGGAAGGGGAAAGGAAGATTGTTAATTGGGTAATATTTTCAAATGGAGGGATAGGAATTTAAGAGTATAATTAGCGTAGCGTATATAAGTTGAAGAATCAGCAGAGACCTGCAGACCCGGCTCGAGTATAATATTTTTTTCAAAAAATCCAGGCTTTATTATAAACAGTTTGAAAAATCGTATAACGAAGCCGTTAATATTCATTTACTGCTCATATTTTTATTTCTCCTGTTAAAACAATTTTTGCAAATATTCAAAATTAACAAAATTTTAAAAATTCTTAGCCAGGCTAAAAAAATAATCAAAAATAAAATTCGTGGGCAAGAAAAAATAAATCGCGGGACAGGCTTGAAAATGAAACAATATTTTTCAAATCCAAGAGGACCTCAAGATTTACTTCGCAGTAGTGTTGTTGAACGACTCTTAAGCCGATTTTAAAAAACAACAAACTCAATATTTTATCCAGAAAAAATGTTATGCAAGCCTAAAGATTTTGCTCCGAGGATGGGAAAGTTTTCGACATATATTACAGCAAATTTTTTATGGCTAAAATATTGAAGCCATTTTTTAAAAAATAGGCTTGAATTGAGCCGTTTTAAGAAAACTAATCTGCAAGCCCTGAGAATTCGTTTCGCTTTAAACAATCTGTAACTAAATGAATTGCTTCTTTAAAAAAAGTAGAACACGGGAAACTGAATTAAGAGAAAACATAGGATTTAAGAAGCAAATTTAATAAGGTTTATTAAGTAGATTCCAGATAGTAAATGTATAATTGAATTGATAATTAAAAATTTATTATGAAAATAAATTTTGATAAAATGTAACGATTAGATCTTAATTTTGCATTAGTTTATATATGGGGTGATTATGCATTCAATTTTGTAAAATGTAAGATATTCTTCTTTATACAAGATACTATGATTTGAGATAATGCATCCTTATATATTTAAGGATAACACCTAAAATATTTTAAAATAGGTAAATTTGGAAGTATATATATAAAAAAACGGGGGAAAACATATCTCGGGAATTGCTTTGATTGTCAGATGCCAATAGAATTTAGTCCCCTTCGATAAATACAGACAATGAGCGAGCCTTATTTCTTATTTTTCTTTTTGGAAGAATAGAAAACAAAATTTTAAATAATGATTTCCAACGTACCCCTTTTCCTACAAATTACTATAGTTAAATAATTACTCTATTTTAGAATTTTGGATGAAAAGAAAACTAACAAACTCAATCTCGAATGTTTTCATTAGAAAATAGTTAAACTTTGAAAGAGGGAAAAATAATTAACCAACGCCTCAATTGCTTAGCATACAAACGATACTGAAATGGATTAAATAAATTTTTCATACCATGAAATATTTTTCTCTTCTAAATGAGGTTGAGTTTTTAAATGGATGATGAAACCTAGTGGATATCGATGATTATCCCGAATAACAGAGCAGAAAGTCGCGATTTTCTATCGATAGCATTCATGCTGTGCCTGAGGCGAAAGCTTAGAGAACAGAAGGTTTAAAACTATATTAGAAATTTTAAAAATTGGAAAGATATTTGATATGTCCAAATAAAACAAGATGAAATTCATATTCTGAATCTATATGTTAGATAAATAATATTAAAAAAATTCATGATATTGTTAATTAATGGGATAACAGGATACTTGTGCGTTTTAACTCTCATGAACTTAAATTTATTAAAGAATATAGCCAAATAAATAATCGTTATATTTTCGAAATGAATAAATTTCAGGTTAAGGAGCCTTTGACAAAAAGTTTGAATATAGGTTTCTTTCCAACTATTTCCAACTCACTTCAAAATTAAATGAATTTTGCAGATTTAAAGTTTTGTCAATCTCTTGTAGTTTCTTATACAAGGTAATGGAACATGTTTTATGTGGGGCGTAAATGTTTGTCAGATTGAAATTTAGTAAATTTGCTACTCTTAAAACAAATAAAAGATTATAAATTTTTTTTAATATATCATTTTCCTCAATTATATAAGGATAAAAAAAATCGTTTTGTGTATTTTATATTATAAAAATTAAGAAGCGGCACCCTTTTTTGTAATTTGGAGCAGAAGCTCGCTCCTTTTAAAAAGGAACGTGAATTACTTAGATAAAGTTACTACTTAGTTAAATAGTATAATAATAATGCGATTAAATTACACAAACATCCACTTGGGAATAATAATGTACAAAATAATGGAAAACATATTATATCGGTAAATCCCGATATATTTTTTACTTCACTAACCCAATAATAGGATGCCTTTAATCTCTCCTTCTAAGATGATAATATCCGTGAGTTTCGCCATGTATAGACTGAGCTTTATAAAAATGTTTAATTCAATAAAATTATGTTATTTAGTGTATCAATGTTACCTAAAATATAAAATGCATTTTAGAAACTGATACTAAAAAAACTATATTTTTATTTTATAATTTTCTGAGATTATCATAAGCGCGATGCGATACAATTTTTAGCGATTTAACAGCTGATCAGGTTTATTTTTATATAAGATCATTTTTAATGCCAATTTCATTTTCTATGCCAACGCCAATATTAGTCCGTTTCAATATTGAAACTATAAATGCCCACAACAATATTAAACAATAAAAATAGAGAAAAACAAAAAATTGAGAGCATCTTTTTCTTATTTGTTTATGAATTTGTAAATCAATTTTTTCTTCTTCTTATGCTGTGTCCTAAAAATCAAAAAATTAAATTCAAACTTAGATCGGAGGATATCATTTAGGCGCTCCTGTTGGTGGATACACAGCAATATCTTCCTTCCTACATTCCACACTTGAATAACTTTTTGAGTTGGCTGATTTATTTTCCCTTCTCCCCTCCAATAAAGCCCTTTTCCTCTTGAAATTTTTTTTCAATATTCCTCGTATCCTATATGCGCTTTGACAACTCCCATTTTTAAATATCCCATCGAAAATATTTTTAACCATAATAAAATAGCGTGGACTCAAGACTCTTTACCCATCAAGATGGGTGGATTTGGTATCAGATATCCTTCCGATCTTGCCCTATCTGTCTTCATATCCAGTTGTCTTTTACCAATATTTGAAATTCCCATTTAATAGAGCCTGATCCTTTTTATATTGGTGCTATTATCGAGTGGAAATCAAAAATTATCGCTGATCACCAACTTTTAAGAAACGAATAAGCTAAAGGAATGGGATGGACCTATTATTGCAAGCTGCGTTAAATCACTCCTTTACAGAATGCAATTATCTGACCGTCCTTTATTCTCCTCAATGTTTAATACATCTGGCCATGAATTCCTTGAAGCCATCCAATAAAACACTTAACTTTGAAGAAAAAGGAAGAGCACGAGAATACATATTCATTCCCATTATTTCCACAACCTTAACAATGAGAACATTATCGTTTTTCAAAGAGCTCGCACATTCGTACACTTACGGATGAACCTCATGAAGGCTTTTTCTTAAGACAAAGACTCGCCATAGAGATTCACAGGACTAATTACATTAGCTTCATGGGCAGCTATATCCCACAAGATGATTAGTTTTAAAATTTATATATTTTGTATGCGTTGTTTTCTTTTTATATATATATATGTATATTTTTGTGATATCTTTATATTCCTCATTAATTTAGTAAATTCAATATAATAAAATAAAATAAATACGGTTTTAAATATATAAATAAAAAAATGTCCAAAATATAATACTGGAAAATTTTATAAATTTAACAACGGTTATTAAAGTTGGCGAAAGTTTTAAAACTCGATTTTTAAAATGGCTTTGGGCATAGCCTTTTGAATTCATGCATTAATTATCAGAGATAAAGGATATATATATATAAAGTAATATAAAAAATAAAATTAAAAAAAATGTTTCTTTCAATATTTTGTTTGATACATGCCACAGCCACTGGTCGGTTAAAATTGAGGATATCAACCAATAAAGTATTTGTATCAGTGCATCTTTAATTAGACATCAATATCTTTTTTATAAAGGGAATGCGACAATATTGCTAGCGGTTTAAAAGAGAATCGAGAATTTGCTGTTAATAAGGGTAATTTTTATAAATATCAATGATTTTTTTTAAAATTTAAACAGCTGTTAAATAGCTGAATATTAAGTCGTATCACGCTTACTATAAATCCAGCCTTCTTACCCATATACCTTTTTGTGAGAAAAGTAGATAAACGCTATAGCTATCCTGTCTTCGAACTTGATGTATGGAAAACAATCCTTTGAAAAAAAAATCTAATTTTAATAATAAGATAATCTAAAATAATTATATATATTTTAAGTAGCACTTCAAATTTGTTAAAGTAAGAAACAATATATAATAAGTTTGAAATGATAGTGATACATTGTTTTAAAGGAAAGCGAGGTCATAGATGATCAAGGAAAATATAAAATTTGTGGATTTTTTTTATAGGAAAAAGGATCTATAAAAGCACCAGGTAATCAAAATAATTTAAATTATTTCCGAAGATCTAGGTGCAGCCAGATTGATCGGAGTTTGCTCAAATCGTGCGTGAGGTTTTTGTTAGGACCTGAAAATATTATTTAATTTTATTTTAAGGCACAAATTGTTGAGCTGTAAATAAATTGTTGAAACGAAAATTTCAAAAAAAACGCGAATGATAATTTATAATGGAACCAAAATAATACATTTTTTAAAAAATATTTTTTATGCGAAAATAAAAATGATCTAGTTTTCTTCTTTTTCATATAAAAATAAAATACTCCTTGAAAACATTGCAAATAAAAATCAATTAACCCCCCAAAAAAGCTTAAAAATAATCCACAAGATTAAGTAATCTTATAATATTACAACAACGTAATATCAAGATGACAATAAATTTATGTGACTACTAATAAAAAAAAGCGGGAGGAGGGGGGGAAGAGGACAACAACGTTATAATTGACGCTATGAATCAATTGTAACAATACTGCATCCTTGAGGATCAGATCTATGAAACGATGCAGAAAGAAGGAACATAAAAATAATTTTTGAAATATGTGAGTTATTTATTGAATTTTTTATATGCTGATTTTTTAGTTTCGCGAATATCATTTTTGCTCCTGGTTTTTGTTCCTAAAAAAGGAAGGAGGGGGGAGCGTGTTGTAATATTATAATTTTACTTAATTTTGTTGATTAATTTTTATGTTTCTATTGGGTTAATTGATTTTATTTGCAATGATTTCAAGGATATATTTTATTTTTATTTGAAAAAGAAGAAAACTAGATCATTTTTATTTTTGGTTTTCAAAAAATGTATTAATTTTGTTCCATGATAAATTATCATTCGGGTTATTTTTAGAAATAATTATTATCATTTTCGTCAACAATTTATGTCTTAAAATAAATAAAGAATACTTTCCCGGTTCAACAATTTACTTACAGTCCAACAATTTGTGTCTTAAAATAAATTAAAGAATATTTTCCGGTCGTAACAGTTCAATAGGAAATAATTTATTTAATAAGTGCAACATGGGCAGTTTTATAACAATAAAAATAGAATACCATTTATACATATTATTCCACTATTAAATTTTACCAAATCCAAATACTCAATGCTGCGATGGTCCACGTCTAACTTCGATTCATCAGCAATACCAGTTTGAAGTAGCAAGAATTTTAGGGATAAAGAAAGGTAGGATAGACCTATTTTATCAGAGGTAATTTCAACATCAGGAATCGTTTTGTTGTTAATATCACCTCAAAATAAAAAATTATAATAAATAAATGCACAAGTTTATCGAAAGGAATTCAATTTTAATCTTCATATTTTCTCTATTTTGACTTATCTTATAATTCATCAAGATTAATCATTTGTTTGGTTTAAAGAAATAAAATAAGGGATGACAAAGCAAATTTTAGGTTATAGAGTAAGATTTTTTTTATATATATATATAAATTTGCAGGAATATTAAAAAACGTTAGGGGGGACATCATTTAGACAACTTTAATTAAATTAGGGAATTTTTTAGTAGTATTTGAATTAAGAAAAATAATGATTTATATTTATACAATAATAGGATAATAATTTTTATACCGGGATACCATGCTCTAAATGAAAAGCAAAAATGTGACAAACGTAAAATAAAGAGAAGTCGTAAAAACAAGTTTCTACTGACAGTATAATTTAGACAAAGAAATATTTTTAATAATGCTAAATCAAATAAACAAAACATGTATAGTTAGGGTCTATAAAAGCGAAATTAAAAAAAATAATAAAATATATGGTTGATTAATTTGTTTTTCTGACTTGATATATCGGATATGTCAATCATTTTTTCTAGCGTTTTCAGTGTAGAGTTGACATTATTAACCCACAATGGACTGGTATTGGAACGATTAAATCCACTCAATATTCCAATTAACATGGGTGACGTTAAGTAATTTCCAATTTCTGTTGGGATTTGTGGGATTTGGGGGGGGGGCGTAAAAATAAAAAAATTATCTGTATTAATAATTAGAATAAAAAATCGTTCTCTTGTGTAATGTTTAATCAGATAGAACCATGACACTCACGGTACCAGTCGGTATCAATACTGGGTATCAGCTGATACGGCGGTAGTAGTGGCAATATAGGCTAAAAATGGCAGCCGTGCATCTTTGATATTTACAAAAAAAAAGGAATTCCTTTATTTTGATTGATAATAAATTAGAAATTTTAGGATTGGATTTTTATTTTCAAGGAATAACATTTTGTATCCTATGGGCATAAATAATGGTGTTAATATTTTTTTTAAGAAAATTATTTTTAGTAAACCAATAAACTTTTTCGTCAGTAAAGCTATAGTTGATTCGACGTTACCTCGAAGAACGTATAGTAGAATAGCCCTGCATAAGTCTACCAAATTTTCGTTGCTATCTTGATTAATTAAGCTTGCAATTAAAAATAATTATTCTTTGAGAGAAAGAAAGAATGAATAAAAAAATATTAATAAATTTATAAAAAAATATTAATAAATTTTTATATTTCACTTTTCCCGAATTAGTTCTCTATTCTCTCTCTTTCTTTAATTAACTTCTCATTATTAATACAGTTATCAGATATAACCCAACCAAAAGGTATATAACATTTACCCAGATTAAATATGTAAATAAAAAACTAAAATATATATCCATTAAAAAAAAAATGAATTCATGCCAAATTTACTTTTCAAGGTAACTGTAAAATGTTTTATCGCGCATCCAGAATTGCCAATCGCAAAGTGTCAAAGCCCTATTTCTTATTCGTTATTAATAATTTCAGATTTAAAGGTATTAATACATTTATTATATCCTTCTTTGTTTAAACATAAATTATAGATATATTCATGCACAAATTATATCTCAAAATTTAGCATTAAAAAACCTTAATGGGTCATCGTATCTTTTAAGTTCGGAAAATGTGGTAAATTCTTTAATATTATTTCCCTCTGATTCGCTATCGTTAGCATCCCCATAATTGTCCGCGTTATTTTGGTTTTCGTTATTCATATGGTTCGCTATATCATTTATGCTGGTGATTTTATCGACTCCTTCTGGAAAATCGAATATTTTAAGGTGTGCGATATTCGATTCCGACAATTCCCGAGTATTGTATAGTGGGAAAAGTTTTGAATCTCTTATGACCTTTTATTTTTATAACATTAAAAGCTCCATTTGATATAATAATTTCGAAAAGTAAATATAAAATATAACAAGTGACATCGAACTCGATATAAACTTAGATTTATGAAATCAAACCTTTTTAAAAGTCAAAATGTCTGAAATTAATAATAAATCTATATTGTAAAGATAAATCGTCTTATAAGATATCTAACTCCGTATGAGTTAGGATCACAACAACTTATCAATATGACTTCATTCTATCTTTCTGTTCATTTTAAAAATCAAGCAATCAAATATGTTAAACTTCTAAATTGTTTTTAATCTTCGACTTATTTTATTCAAAACGCGCTTATACTTTTTGGCAAAAATCTTCGTTGATACAAATATCCCGATAAAAGTTATCGTCTATAGAAAGTCCGGTAAAATTATAAAGCGAAGACCCCATCGAACCAACAACCATTTCATAGTTTATGGAGTAATCCTGAAAATGTTTTAATTGTTTTTATAAAAGGAAAAAATAATGTAACAAAAAATTTCGAGTTAAAATTTTCAAAAACGTAACTTTTTTTGAATATTCAACAAATAAAATTTATTTTATTGTTAGATTTACTGTGCAACATGTTATCTTGTAGTAGGGTTAGCCGATTTAAAACCATTTTTAAATTTTGATTTAAATCACCTTGATTTTTTTTTAAAAAATCGATGGTATAAATCAAAATTTATGGTGGTGAAAGATAAGGACTTAGATTAGCAAAATCTAAATTGAATAACCAAATTGCACTAGTAATTAACACTTGTCAGGACATAAAAGTTATTTTTTTTATTTCAATTTCTGACATAGCAGAAAAATAACTGCTGATCCTAATAGCAATAGTGAAAAATTATATAATATTTCTAATATAAAACGAAACTAATATCAAAAATCTACACATATTTTAAAAAAATTTTCATTACTTAATAATAAAAAAAATAATCAATTAGTTTGTAAAATTAAGAAAAAACAATCTATATCGTCGACATTTATTAGAATAAAAAAATTCTAATTTTCCTGCCTTTCCTGTTCCTAACCGATACCTAAGCTTCGAGTGAACAATCCAAACGACGAGAATACTCTCTCGACTGAATAGGATGATGAAGGAGTAAATAGTTGTTTTATTATTTTTAAAATATTTACATCCTTCATCATATTCTTGGGTCATTTACCATTCAATTGGATCTACTTTATTTACTATATTATCCGAAAACATAATTTTAGTAAATGGTTCTGATCCTGCTTAAAACTTTACCAATATAGATAAAATGTTATGATATAAAAGTCCGCCGTTTTACATTAACGTTCCCATTTAATTGGTTGTTAAATTTGAACGATATTTCAGGTTTAAAAGTTAGAATAGGAAGTGTTTAGGAGTTAAAGCTTGATTGTATCGTTTAGAAAAGGTTGAAAGTCTTATCACTACTTTATTAGCATGTAAGGTAGTGAAAAACCTTTGCAAATTCTTCCAACCATTCGGGGTTTTAAATTGGGCTAATTCTTAACCGGTTGAGAAATAGCAATAGTTAATTTTAGTTTGAAAAATTAAATTTCATTTGACATCTTTGAATCAGAAAATTCTACAATAGATTTATTTTAGCAAACAACTGATTTTAATTTTTTTTAAAAATAACTGTATATTTTATGTCATCGGTTCTTTATTTAAAAAGAATATCAATTTACAACATATTATTATTTAATTTTTTAACAATTTCCTGACTTGTTCCCTTGAGCATTAGTCCTTAGCTTGCAAGAACTGAAATTTAAAAAAAAAGAAATTTTAAAATCTTAATCCCGAATTCTTTATAAACTTTGAATTATTTTTATTTGGCTTATATGTAAAAAAAATAGATTCTTTTAAATTTTTTTTTTAAAAAAAATCACGAATTTTGCCAACCCTATATTTTGTCGAATATTATTCTAACTGCAAAATAAAAAAATTGAGAAATTTTTGAACGAGTAAAATGATTTTACAGGTGGCTATTATAATTTCTTTTTAAATCCATAAATAGAAGCAAAATTCATTTAAAGCCTCAGTATTGAGCAACAATTTTTTTTGTTTTTTTAATCCGAGATATAAATATTAAGTTCATTACAAAATGCTTTTTAATTAAAATGTTTTTAATAAAGGAGAGTATTCAATTGTTAATTATTGATTTAAAAAAATAAATTAGTAATTTTTGAATAATATTTAAAAAAAAGAAATAATGATTAAAAATCTGCCCAAATTTTCCGAACCCTAGAAGGGAGAAAAGTTTATTTTATATTTTTATACCATAGCTAATTTTTCGTGAAAAGTAATGTTGCAAAAGAGTTTATCGTTTTGATCGTCATGCTGATCGCTTAAGGTAAGCAAAGTTTGAGTAGGATTAGGACTAGAAGATGGATCCATATTGTACCAACTAAAAGATGCAATGATTCCATCATTGTTACCTTTTTTTAAAAAAAAATTTAATAAAGAATTTTTTTTATTAAAATTATTTTAATTAATGATCAAGGTCCCAACTCATGGAAATTGCCGTTACAACACCTAATTCGTTAAAAAAATTCTATTCGTCTATTTGTAATCAAACGACATGTCAGAATTAACAGGCTAATAATAACTCAAATCCCATATTTGTCAAACCTTTAACTAACCTTAACCTTTAAATTCGATTTCTTCCTTACTCTATATACTTGTTTAATTTAAAATGTATTTCATCCAATTAAAAAAATCTCCTTTAGCTGAAACATTCCTTGATGTGAACCATTACCAAATTTATACAAATCCTTATGTCAAAAAGTTTTTAAAGAAATTTTGTTGCCCGATTTAAAAAATAATATAAGGAATTATAATTATACCGTAAAATATATCAATAAAATTAATATCAAAGATCTCGAAAGAAATTTTACTGCAAGTTTTTTCGTATATTTCGAAGTTAGCGGCGTCTGGAGCTATACGAGTTAATAGAAAATAAATATTTAATAAACTTCATTTCTAAATCAAAGATGAAATAGTGCCTAACGAAACATTGTCATTAGGTAGAATATTTTGCCAAAAAATTAATTTTTTTTTAAAAAAAAACAAGTTACTTCATTCGAGAGTTTATATCAAATCTAGCTTAAATAGGGTTTTTTTTAAAAAAAATTAAATATTAATCAACGTTAGGAAAGTTTATAAAAAACGCTATAATTGAATTTACTATTATTTTACAATTAAATATGCCACCCTTTAATTTTTATGATTTTCATATCCTTTTTTTTTATTACATTAAGATTCGCTCAATAATAAATAAATATTTTCTCTCATGACTTACTAGTATTGATGTCTAAAAAGTAAACGACACGAGATTCATCGAGCAAAATGGCTATCAGGTTTTGCCTTTTATAGCATTTAAAATATAAATAGTTTAACACAAATATGCATGCTGTTCTTAAAAAGCCTTTCAAAAAAAACCAATTAAACACTCCCCTCTCTCTCCCATTTATCTAAAGTAAATATTATATACTTAATAACCTGTTCGGGGACCACGATATTTTGTGAATAGGCCTGATGTTATTTATCGTATAAGAGCTGATCTACGATAAGGTTATTTTTTTAAAATACAATTTCTTAATATGGGTGTAATGATAGAGCTAAAAACGGTAACCCAGTAGCATATGTCTCCTTTAGGTCTAGGCCCAACCTGTAGCCCATGTAAATATTCAGCAATAACTCTGATAATTTAATAATATTTTATTCATTATTACAAAATATGATATAAGAAAATGATATCCACCTCTTGATATTAAATTTTATGATAGAAAGGAAATATAATATTAATAAGCCACGGGCTGGTAGAGTTTAGATTGGACCAGTCCTGTGCTATGCTATTGCCTGGCCTGCCATGCTGGACTGTACTGTAATTTAATATAATTAAGCTAGATTGTATTTAAAAAATATTAATGAGAACATCAATTTTAAAAGAATTGGAACTATGCATCAATAGGAAACAAATTATTTTTAATTATAAAGCAACTGAAAAACTTATCGGAGCCTTAAAAACTTTCGCAAAACTGAACAAAACACTTTTTAGGTCAGAGGAGGAACGCCGGAAGGCATTAGAAATGCGGATGCCTGTGAAATAATGCACAACTTAGTCGATGATAAATTACTCAAAACATTATATAAATTAAAAAGAAAATTGAATCTTTTTGAAAAGTTGTAACTTGTGTTTCCAAACGTCGGGTGTCCCATAAGTACAGCTTATTCTATAATAATTTAATTTTTTTAGGTTAATATTATAAATGTAATAGTAAGTAGGGTTGTTAAAAAGCCCAATTCGGGTCGATTTTTCAAAAACTATCTGATTCTGATTTTAGCCAATATAATATTATGTAGGCCTCGAGATTTGGCAAATAGGGAAGGTCTAAACCTTCCTGCCATCTATGAGCAAAAATCGAGACGAATGGGGCTTTTTAACAATCCTAATAGTAGGCTTCCAGAGAGGCAAATCGAATGGTTCCCATCAGTGGCGTAGCTAGGAATTATATTACCAATTTGATTCCCAAATTTTCAATTTTCAGCGATTTTTGTTTTAGAGATTTAGAACCTATCCCAATCGAATAATGAAATATTCGTATTTATTCGATTCGAAATTTTCGAATAGTAGAATAATTTAGCATTCGTTTTTGCAAGAATAGAATGTTATTAGTTTTTGTAAGTATTGAATATGTTACTCATATTCGCAAAAGAGAACAATTTGATTTTTTTTTTAAAAAAAAATAACTTCTTTAAGATATTTTATTTAGTACACAATAAAGTAGATAAAATTTAAACATTTCATTGCATAATTCATACTCGTATGAAGGTAAATTATATTGAAAGTAAATTTATATATAAAAAAATCATTCATTCTAGGCATAAAATTTTGCTAATTGTTTCTTCTTTTAGAGATATGCAATTTTTTTTAGTAATCATATTTGTGCCAATAAATTAGACGATCATAAAATGTAAAAAATGACCCTATTTTTTTCTCCTTCTGACTGTCATTTTACCATTTAAAAATATTTATTTTAAATTTATTAAAGAAATTTTTAAACAAATAGTCACTATCATAAATCAATAAAAGCAGTAAACAAGGGAAATAATTGTCGGACGAGATATTAGAAAATTTAATGATATAAAAAATATTATATAATATACACCCAAATGAAATTGGGACAAATCAGCTTATTATAAAAGTAATTTTTTTTACTTTTCCTCGTTATATTGACTATAAGTTGGGTAATCACTCCATTTATTTTCAGTCGTTTCATCCAACTGCAAAATTGACTAAGAGAGACAGAGTTTATAGCCGAACAATTATTTAAGTTTCGAAAAATCTAGCCCAACTTTGTATAAATCGGGGGAAAAAAAATTAATTGGCGCCTTAACGCATAGAATTTTAATTCTGAATGATGGAGTCGTTTACCCAACTACATAATTCTGACACGAGGGGCCCAATTAATATATTATGATCCGTTTTTAGTATAACCTCGAATACGGAAGAAAATTGGTGCGGGTTGAAGGGATCGAATTGGATATTAAAGACAGCTTTGGTTGATGCACTCGTGTTCGAAGAAGAACTAGAACTTTTAGGTTTACTAACTAATTTTAATTGATTTAAAAAAAATACATATATTTGATTTTTTATAAAAAAAGAGTAATAAAAATTTATTCATAAATTTTTTTCCCCAGTACGTTTATAGACCTACTAGCATAATTAAAATCAGCATTATGCTTAAAGAATAAGATGCTAAAAAAATATGCAATTTTTTTGATTCAAGCGCGTTCTACAAATGTTCGGATAGAAAATATTTTAGGCGTGCAGAGTACCCTTTTACTCCTCCGTGGCAATGTTACTAAGATTAATAGGTAAACTTAATTGTAAAACAAAATTATGGTAACAAAAGATGTATTACGCCCAAATCCTGTCTCCCAAAAATCCCTTCTTTTTTGGAAATATATATTTAATCTAATATAATTTTAAATGAGGGGAGCGGTTTTTCTATACTCATATTTATCGAAAATGTTTTAATTTGCTCTTTAAATATTGAAAAATAAGTTAGACGGGTTTAGAAGAAAAAGTCGCGATTTTTTTTTACCTATCATTTATAAATCTTTTTTTTAAAACGTAGATTCTTGATAGGGGCCCTGTATATATTCAGTTCGACTGAGTTAAAATAATTTCCTAATTTTATTTTTATAGCTAAAAGGGGTGTTTTAAAACTTGTTTCTTAGAATGCTTTATATGTTAATTTTGAGATTTAATTACGCCTTTTTCAAAAATCTTTCATATCCACTAACAATCAGAGAGTTTGAAACTTGAACTAACAAAGGTTCATGTTCTTAAAATTTTTTTAAAAAAAAAGAAACGGTTCTGAGGATAACAGAATTTACTTATTTATCTATACATATATATTGCATAACCAATAATCAGAGTTGTTAACGCTCCTTTTTAAAAGTAGCTAGCTCCCGCTCCTACCTTCTCAAAAGAAGATAGCTCCTGCTCCCGCTACTACATTTTTGAAAGGAGCTAGCTCCCGCTCTAAGTAATGGAGTGTCACTCCATAACCGCTCCTTTGATTTTCATTTTTTTAGAGGGTATATGAAATAAAATCTTATTTTTTTTCATCTAAAAGCTTTATTTATATTAAATTACTATCAGAATATTTATAACCTTTTATTAGCTTTTAAAAGTAATAAATTTTAAATTAGAATCTATCAAACATCCACGCCTCTCCCCTAAGACCTGTTTTGCAATACTAAATAGGCACTCCACAGGAGCACTAAAAGTAAGCAGGGTATTGTATTTTATAAAGATATTTTTTAATTCAGGGAATTTATCGAAAATAGTAATTTTGGTATCATTATTTAAAAAATATTTGTCCAATATATTATCTTCCTGATGATCAATTTCATGGAATCCAAAAAAATCTTCCAAATTAATTTGTATTTAAAAGAAAGATTTTTTACTTTTAGATGCTTTTTAAGATTGAAGCTGCTCACTTTTGAAAATTAAATAGTTTTATTTAAACACAAAAGACATTTTGCCCATAATTTGTTTGATCATTTGGATCAACAACTTTTAGAAGTTTAAAATATTTTTTGTATGATGTAAATGGAAATTCGATTTCTTCATCTATGATATCTAAATCCATAATATCTAAAACTATTTTTTATTATATATCTATAAAACGAATATTAATATGACTTACAAGATTTTCCAAAAAATTTTCAATATAAAAAGGAAAACTTAATGTTTAATATTTAAAATGAATAGATGAAAAACCAATATAAAACTCGGCTAAACATTTAATAATGGATAAATTTAAATTAAATTAAATTTCATTTTTATTAAATTTAATTAACAAATATTATTAATATTTAAAAAATAATTTAATTTATACATTAAATTTAAAGAAGCGGTGGAGGGTGCTCCTCCACTCCAGCCCTAAAAGGAGCTAGCTCCCGCTCCCCAATTTTAAAAAGAAGGGCCACTCCAGATGTTTTTGAAAAAATGTAGCGGCGCTCACAACTCTGCCAATAATAGTCCGGGTTATAGGAAATTTTTTATTATTATTCTTTACTTCTAGTATCGATGACTTTCAGATTTTTGTAATTTAATCCAATCATTAAGGAATTGTTGGCATTCGGAATCCATTGCAATGAGGAAACAGTTTCTCCTAAACCTTTAAATATTCAGATAATTTATGATATAATTTAAAATTTTGAATTTATTTCTAGGATGTATTTATGATTAGTTAATCAAACAGAATTACAATACCTCCAGAGAGAAAAAAACCCCAAGTATACATAAATTACCATATTTAAATGAAGTTTTATTATAAATTTAGATTAATAAAACAATTTAAAAATAGTTTTGGACAAGAAAGTAATGAACTAATAAAACTCTTTATTGATAAGTAGAGATTACAACATAGTGCTATTGTAACTTTTCAAAAGTAATTATTTACATTGAAAAGTTACCTTGTCCAAAATATAACTAGTTATACAATAGTTATCTTAATTTATTACTAACTTTTTGATCATATTGAAAATCATATTTTAGTTTAAGCCAGTGATGTCACTAGCCTTTAAATTCTTAAGGGGCTTAACTTAAAAAAACAGAAATATATTTTTGGAAATTTTTTTTAAAATTACCTTCTTTTTTAGGTTATATTTATAATTGCCTATTTTTTACTTAAGCCAATTTTTGGGTCACTTAATGCTCATTTTTAGTGAACACTAGTAAATTTTTATTACATACAAAAAATTAAAATATAAACTTACGCTTTTTGAGCTAATTTATAAGTTTATGTTATTAAAAAGGAGTTATAATTTTTCTCTGAAAATAAAAGTCTTTAATATGAAAGAAATGAAGTTATTATTGACAAATTCATAGATAGAAGAGATGTAGCAGATCCAATTTTTTCACTGGGATTTAAGAAAGTTCTGAAAAATAAAACTTCTCTTCTTTTACTAAAAAAAATTTCTTTGGGATTAAAATGATATTAGTGATATTTAATTTATTTAACTTTATAAATGTGTTAAAATATTTTTTTTCAATTAAAAATTTCAAGCTGGGGCATGCCTAAAAATAAAATTCTAACTGGGCTAAGGTCTAAAAATAAATTCACTTCCATCCTGTCAAATATATATAAATTGGGTCTAATCTAAAAAAAAATTGAAATATGAAATTGTAAGGCCTTACGTAAGTGACATAATAATCTAGTAATTAAATAATTATGTACATACTTACATGCATTAAATATAGGTATTGAAGGGCATTTATTAGGATCCTTAGTGTTGGATGTTGAGTTACTATTATGAAGTTTATTAATGTCCCATATTGACAAAGAATAATCATATTTATGCTTCACATGAGAAGTTGCTAACTTTTTTAAAATGTTTTTTTTTTAAAAACAAAAACATAATATATTCACATTGTGAGGGATCAGAGGATTCCAAGCTAGATTTCCAATCAGACGACTATATTTGGGTTCTTAAAAAAATAATAAAATTTTCATATTATTAAATTATTCTACCTATTTCTACTATTTTATTTGCAATATAATTATTTTTAATATCTATATTTATAATATTAACATAGCCAGTTGTTCTACCAATACAGACCATTCCATTATTTTTCCAATCCATCGCCTGCATCAAAATTGTTAAATTAAGTATATAATGGGATATTATATTACTTTGATATATGGAAATTCATTATTAGACCATATCAGATCACAATTTAATTGCTGATCAACTGTTGAATATGCTAAAAAATATTCATTATATATAAAAAAAATATTTAATTAGCTACATTTTATGTTTGATTTATATAAATTTAAACTATCGCCATATACAACAAATATATCTTTATATGAAGGAGACCAAAATATCTCATTATTGCATAACATTTTATCAAATATTTTTTATATTTTGATCAATAATTCATAATTAAATGCTGATAAAAATATTCATTCAAATATTTTAAATTTAAAAAATTGGTAAGACCGCCAAAAATGGCAACTAAAATCACATGATCTAAGTTTGTTTTTCTTATTACCAATCTCTTTTATATAAATTAAATTTATATGTATATAAACTGGATTGTCACTACTTTCATTAAAATACAGTAAAGTTATATTGCATTTACATTTATTCAAGTCATCTGTCGTTATTGTTTGTAGTCAATGATATATATAACTATAAATTGGCGATTCATTCATTAATGCGTCCACACATTGAAGTCAGCTGTAGCGCCATTTTGTAGTTTGAGCGTTTGTCAAATGTCTCGATCATTATAATAGATTTGGAATCGATTCCTCCTTCAATATATTCTTACCTGATAAAGTCTGAATGAAACAATTGGGTGTAAAACCCTCCTACAAATAATATTATATTTATGAGGTAGAAAATTTTTCCTATTTACAGCCAGCACTCATTTTTTCAATAAATCTCTGTATTTTAATGGAAATCTATAAAAAAAAAGAAGACAGAATAATAATGAGTAAAATATCAATATAAGTATTTTATATATAAATGGGATTCATATTTACTAAATAATTTTAGGTATTTTTTTCATATCCCTTACAAATATTTTTTTAATATTCGATGATGCTGTTTATATTAAATAAATTAATGACATTGGGATAAATACAAATTTCATTCTTGAACATTAAAAGAAGCTAACGATTTAAAATTCTTCAAGACTAACACCTTATAAAATATGTATTAAATTTATATTTTTAAATTCTATATTAATTTAAAAAAATATTTTTTATATAAAATATCAAAAGCATTTATTTGTAATAAGAAATGTGTGATTATTATATTCTATTTGATTTGTATTATGATAATTTGACAAGAAGCACACTCCCATTATAAATGTAACATAATAAATGATAGTGATATTAAAAACCTGTTTTTAATGTATCCCATCATGCATTAACATAATTTAAAAGACCTTGCTGGATTAGGTTAAACTATTTTTTTTTAAATTACAAGGTGAGATAAACTAATATTTTTTAGAATAATCAGCTAGTCATCCCTCATAAATATTTATTAGACCAAAAAATAATTAAAACAATTTTCAATTTTATTTTATTATTTAAGAAAAAGCTGTAAAAATTATGTCAAAGAGCAAAATCTTTCAAATAAATTAGACTTGTTTTTAGAATATACCATATTAATATTTCTTTCTGACAAATAATTGACAATCAAATTACAAAATAGCGTTAGAGCTGATTTCAATGTATACGACGCCTTTATAATGTATAAGTGAATCGTCAATTTATAGTTTTATATATCATTGCCTCTAGTAGATGCCAATGAAGAAAATATTCCTTAAGCCTCGAGATTTCACTAAAAGATATCCATACCTTTGTGCCATCAATGGGCAAAATTTTCAGGTCTGCATAATATTTTTCTGAATAAAATACTGAGTTAAACGTTTTTAAAATCGGAAGATAGCGATTCTGTATCACTAACCCTGAAGTAGTTTATAGTAATAAGAAATTATAGCGATTTCGCTCAAGCAATGTAATTCATGGTTAAACTATAACTTAGTAAGTATAGATCAACATTAGGATTTATATATACTAATGAAATGGCAATTCATTCATTGAATGCAGTTTAAAGTGTCCATGCATAGGCTTATTCCAGTGACATGTCATTGCCTTATTCAAAAAAAAAATTGATTCGAATATAATAAATCTTATCAAATAATTATGAATATGAATAATAAAATTGTTTCATCTAATAACCATTTATTCGATTCAAATAAAACAAATTATTCGGATTATTAATTAACTGTTTTTAATAGATTTAATATTTGTCATTATTATTTGATAACCTGCTAATCTGACAGGTAATGTGATTATAAAAAGACTTGCACAAATTTAAAAATAGTGAAAATTGAAGCGATATTTAAATCTTCCGTATTTTTTGAATCTCATAATAATATATTAAAAAATTACACAAAACAAATGTATATAAAAAAATACATTTCTACTATAAATTATCATTAGCTAGCTTATAGGAGTATGCTTCATATAAAATAGTTATGCTTGATATTTAAGGACAAAATTTCCTAGCAAAAAGAGCGATTATATGGGATCAATACCAAATCAATAAAAACGGTGAAAAGGCTGCTTGCAATCATTGCAAGAGTATTATATAATATAAAGGCAAAACAACCCCTCTTATTAATCATTATAACAGGTTGCATTCATCACACCTCCGTAAAAATTGTTATAAAATTGACTTTTTTTAAAGCTAAGCTACTTCACTATTTTCTTTGTAAAAAAAATAATTTTTAAGACAACTTGCTAAATTTATTAATAAATAAAAATACCTTTTAAAACTGTTAATATTACAAAAGATTTTATAAGTGATCTTGATAGTTCTGTAAAATCAATATTTTCCAATACACTTAAATTGCATATGTATAATACATTTGCAGAAAAGAACAGTTGGTAAAGGAAATAATATCCAAAATTTAAGTCAGATTAATTTTTCATCTGACATATGGACTAGTTCAACCAGAGACCTAAAAAGGTACCATTTGCATGGCCCGGCCTGTATTTTTTAAAAATATATTATATTTATTTTTGATTTTTATAGCTAATTATGGCGATTTCAAATATTAGGTTTGGCCTGGATATTTATTTTAAAAAAATTCATGCCCGGTCCGCTGGCCTGGCCTGCAGGTCTCTAAGTCCATAGTTACTTTTTTAAGGCTTACAGTCCATTTTATTGATGATCATTTTAAATTAAATAACATTGAATGTTGGTCCAATAAATGAAGCACATTCAGATGAAAATATATTTAAGGCCTTTGTTAAAATAAATACAATTTTTATTTTGGATAAATTAAATTTTTTTACATATAAATTTGGATAATGCAACTAATGATAAAATCTTTATTCGTACATTTTCCTTAAAATATCCATTAATAAAATAAAGGCACATTTCCAAAGAAATTTTAGATCCATCAGTTTTTAAACTGAGAAATAAATTTGTAATCCTAAAAAGTTAAATTCATTAAAAAAATATATGTAGTTATTTTAAAACCACAATTAGATTGTGAACCTACCAAATGATTGGAGGCTTATTGTTAAAGTCTGTTATAACAAAATTTGTCATGAATTAATGACTAAAATCAAAATTATTCAAGGAAAACAAATATCATAGGTAAACTAAAATTCATAATTAGGGAATAATATATTACTTTGTCAACATATATTAGGAAATCTTATAAAACTAAAGCTATCCTATGGCCTTTATATGAAGCTACAAATATGGTATATGGGGAGAATTATCATACTAATAATTTGATTATATCATATTATATTCTAAACACTTAAAAAATAGAAAAATTGATTTCCATAAATCCTATAACAAAGGTTTTAATTAAGCATATGATAAATTGTTGGGCCATTATAATTTAACTGCCGATGATGCAATAATAACTACAATATGATTCCAAGTTTAAAGTAGAATATTTTAAATCAATATCTATTAATTATGATATTGATATATCCAAGTTAAAGGAAAAATTCAAAGAGATTTATAACAGCTATACAAATATTTTTTACCCCCATTTAAATAAATAAGATTTAATTTTAAAAGATGATAATTATTATCAAAAAATAAGGATGAATATCAACATAACAGACTAGGCATTGTTTTTAAACAAAATAATATTCAACTGTGTGAAATAGATTTATATCTGAGTAAACCATGAGCAAAGAATGATACTGGCCCGTTAATGTGGTGGAAGGCAAATGCATATCGAAAGGAATACCAACTTGCTTGTGAAAGGCTTTTCTCAGTTGGAATCAAACCACCCCCCCCCCCATCCTACAGAAATATCACCGCCTTCGTTTTCGCGCTATTCTTTAAGAGTTTTTTTTTATAATTAACGATTCAAATACTATTTATTAATATCACATTTATATAAATTAATAAAATTGTAATATATATATCAATCAAGAAATTATTATAAAGAATATTTGTTGGTCTTGTTGTATTACCAAACGTAACCATTATAAATAGATCGAAATTTTTAAATATACTTTGAATATTTATCATTTTAATAAATGATGAACATATAAAAAATACTATACTACGAATGTAAAATAAAAGTGCAGCAAAAGACTTTCTAAAAATTATTAAATAATAATGTACTAAAATATCCAAATTTTTTAATAGTCCTTCTTTAATGAATATTATTTTAAAAATAAAATTATAAGGCAAAATGCCTAAACGTATTTGCCAAAAAATGTATAAGATATAATTAAGATAAGACAATCTTTTATATGTTAGAGCAATTTTTTTTATAATATCCTCAGATCAATTTCCCGTGATATAATAATATAATGCAAATTCCTAAATTTATTGCAAATTTAAAAAATTATATTGCATCAAAAGTATAAATTAGATAATTAAGGGATGAGATTAAACAATTATAGATATAAATTTTAGAAATATAATATATCTATTTTTTATATACAATTATTTGTTTAATTAAACATAATAACATTTTTAAATACTGTTTAGAATTAAAACTTAAATTTAATATTCAAAATCACAAATGAGGAAGCTTATTAAATAATTTATTTTATTTTGCCCTAAAATCAAATAATTGTACTTTAAAAACAGGAAGATGAGTGAATCTTATTAAACGGCAAATGTCTGATTATTTACCCAATGCTTAACTAAGAATATGGGAGATACATTTCTAAGATATTCATATGGTTACCAGATCCTGCAATTTAATAGAGGTCATATTTATTTCAATTCGATTATTAAATTTTTTTTAAATATTTTCAAAAATGAAAATATGATAATAAAAAATTTCAAATTTTTTTTTGAATAGATCTGATTATTTTTTTTAAAAACAAATTGTGATTTCATCTCAAAAAATTCATTGCATAAAAATTATGAAAGATTTACCTAATAAGATTTTTTTTTATTACACATATTTATAATTTGAGGTAAAATTTGATCAAAAATCTTCACAGCTTTTTACTCAAAAGATATTCCCGTAAGGAGCATGTTAAATACTTACAAATATTTTAAATATTTATGAATAAGTTTTATTATTCAGGAATAACTCGATAAATTATGTGAATAATTCGATCGAATAATGGATAAAAAATTATTCGACGAATAATATATTTTCCTTATTCGTATTTGGTTAGAAAAATTTGATAATCGTATTCGTAGAATACGAATGAAATAATTCTATATGGGTATAAGGCAAAGAAATGTGTAGGCTTATTATAGACAAATAGGTGCAATTAGCTTTACTAAAAAGCTAGATTTCGTTAATAGTTGTCCAAACTTTTCTACCCATTTAACATTATTTATTACACCTTTATGATACTCTCTTCATAAATTTTAAAATGAATAACTTAAATTGTTAATGCCCTAATAACAAATTATCAAAATATTGTAGAATTCTAAAAAAAAACTCCCTCATTTATAATCAAAGCTAGTATATTGTTTGGCAAGAATATGAGTTCGCTGTCTAACCCTTTTAAATTTCATTTAAAAGGATAGCAGAAAGTTTTATTTAAAAAATAATGTCTAAGTATTAATTTTTAATATACATTTTGACCTATTTCATCTAAATATTTAATTTAATAGATAACCCCTCAATAAATTTATCCTACCCCCCCCCCCCGCCCCCTACCTCCTACCAGCCTCAAAAAAAATTACAAACTGTTCCTACACCCTTCTTCCCTCCCCACTCATTTAGATGCTGGACATAAGTAGTGATGCAAAATCGTCTCCACTCAAGCCGATTCCGAAACAACTTGGCATGGGCTAGGCTTTGGAACGGGAGCCAAAAAATCGACTGAGCTGAAAAATTGGGTTCTTGGAGTGCCAGGGTATTAATTTTAATTTTTATATAAACCGTTAAAAATTGTAACCTGATAATAATGTTTATACTCTTATAGACTTGTTATCATATTTGACTATTTTCTAAGAAAAATAAAATATTGATAAGAAAATTTTATTAGTTTTGAGAATATTAATTCAAGCTAGATGTATTATGAATGGACCGTTATCGAAAATGACTTAGATATTGATTGACTTCTTATTTTTTTAAAAAAAAATCTTTTACTAGTAATTTTTATTTAGGAATATTTTCAATTTTTTCCAAAATGCGAAAGAAACAATTGTCATTTTAAACCTTTACCATTTTTTTTGAAGTAAATTTGTAAGAAGGGTGTCATATTATTAATTGTGAGGAACAATTTATCGTAAACACACTTCTGAATAGCATTATATATTAATTACAATGTTATTATGGACGTTGGATAGAAAGAAACAGATAGTGGTCGTAATATATTTACTAATAGGATAGACATTAGGGTTTTATTTTTGTTTCAGGCCGGTATAGAGATTATCGGATCCATAACGTACACCTGTCCAATGTTATCGTATTCGTAGGTTCGATTCAGGAAGGTATCCAACAAGCGTATACCTGATATAGACTGTTTAAAAAAAAACATAGGGATTTTTAAAAAACCAAAAAATAAAATGGTTTTTATTTTCAACGTAAAAAACAGGTAAAAATCAGAACAAAAACAGGCTACTACTATATCAATGAAATTTTGAAGATAAGGGAAATTAAATTTATGGAGTTAATTTTCTTTTTCTTATAAAAAAAGTTGGTTTATTTTAATAAACATAATTTAATAAAAATAAGCGAGTTATAAAATGATTGATAGTAAATTTTGTATCTAAATATTGATCATTTCTTAAAATAATTGCGTAATGAAAAATTGGTAAATTATATTTTTCGATATGGATTTTAGTAATAATAAAACAATTTTATTTTAAACAGAAAAAACATATATATTATTCCTAATAATTACCATGTAAATTTATAAATTTTTACTATATTTTACAAATTATGAATATTTATGATTAGATAAATATTAATTTTTAAATTAAAGATGTAGATGCAGTTAATTGTTACGTGCTATTTGCTAGTTTTAAAGATAGATGAATAAGGGTTTTTTTTATAAATATATATATTTTTTTAATTTATCTATTTGAATTAAGCAGTACAAAAATTAAATTTCTACATTATTTTAAAATAAGAGAGGTGAATTTCGTAAAAGAACCTGAGGAAATGGGAACATTTATTTATGTAATAAAATGGCTTGTATTATAGTAATCTAGTGTTTCTTAAATTTAACATCGAAAATATTAATTAAAAAAAATTTGGATTATGTATTTTTTTTTCCTCATAATAAAATAATATCCGGTTTACAATTTTTAACCTTAAATCCGGGATGGGTAGCGTATACTGTGAGTGGAAGGAGGGAGTGTTGACCTGGTTCTAATTTTCCAAGATGTTTCTTTGTCATTCCTAGCCAAAATATGTTTTGTTTGGTGTTCATGTCATCTATCAAACGCATATCCAAATCCATCACTCTTTCTCTAAAACCATAAAAAAAAGTTTATTTCTTTCCTGCCATTATTCTCGCTTTATATCCAGTGTTTAAATGGAAATTGGTAGGGTGGGGGGTAGGAGATATATACTAGTGATCTGCATTGGGCCTAATTTTTCAAGCCCGGCCCGGCTCAAAATTTTTTTAAAAAAAATTTGCCGGTCCGATCTGAACGGGAAATATTTTTAAAAAGTTTTGCCGGCCCGGCCGGAACCCGAAATTTATGTAAAAAAATTTTCCGGCTCGGCCAGGCCCGAATTTATTTAAATATAGAAATTAATTTTTATAATTAGTTAAAATAAAAGACATATGTTATATAGCGTTTAGTTTCAATAAATTAAATAAAAATTTTTATTTTACATAAAAAATTCAATATAAAATTGATAAATTTAGATATATTTAATAAAATTTCCAAGGTCCGACCCGACCCGGCCCGAATTTTTTTTAAAAATATTAGGCCCGGCCCGAACCCGATTATTCCCGAGGCCCGAGCCGGACTCGGGCCGGGCCTAACTTTGCAGATCTCTAATATATACATCAAAAATTTTTCAGGGTGGTAGGAGAAAAATTCTGGGGGAAATTAAATTTCTTTTTCACTTTAATTTGAATATTAAAATTAATAAAATATGATTTGTTTAGTTATATAATAGTGCTAGAAAGATTCCGTGGTAACAATAAATGTCCTATAAATAATATGCTAAATAAAATAGGGAAACAGTCTTTCAAACTTTTTAATAACTATTAATTCGTAGTGAACTAGAAACAAATATACAAACCAATGAATCTAGCTAGGACATCAATTGTCTAAAAGAAAAGCAAAACAAACTTGACCGCAGGTTTCTAATTACAGAACTGCAAGTAATTAAGATTTATGTCTAAACCGATTTTTTGCCGATATTAAAATGGCCTGGTTATAAATGTATATTTTGAAATTGACACAAGATTGACAGATATTTCTAATATAACCATCTTAGAATGTTAATAACATCTAAAAATATGTTATCGAACAAAAATAATTTAAGAAGGGGTTGGTAACGGAAAATAAATCAGCTTAGGTTTTGGATCCGCAAAACTAATTTTGAATAAATTTCAAATCGTTCGATTCTAAATCCTTAAAATAATTTTTTGCTCTATATATAAGATGTGATGTTGTATTGCTATTCCAAGATGTTTATACATAAATATTAGATACCAATCTCGTATCAATTCCGTTGCCTAAGCCTCGAGATTTAGTTGATAGATGTCCAAACCTTTAACTATGAGCAAAATTTTCAAGCTTTGTGTAATATTTTTCTGGAAAAATATATCAGCCGTTTTTAAAACATGGGTTCAATTAGATCCTTTTCATACATTATATATCATTCATTTATTTTTCTGGCATCCCCTCCCCTAGCATCTTTTCCAGCCTCATGAAGACCCTGAAGAAAGGTAAGAAATAGGCTAGCTCTGACAAAATTAGATAAAAAAACTTATAGTTAAATAAAATTACAATATGTTCTGCAAACAATTTTATAGATTTCTTAATAACGATGGAAGATATTTAATCCCCAAAATTTAAAATCACAAATGAAATATAATTAATATTATACAAACTATTTATTATTAGAATATTCTATATTTTTTTAAAAAATTGCATTTTTATATTGGAATATAATGAACGTGTGTTTTTGTATAAAATTAATATATTTTTTATAGATTTATAAATATAGGTCTTATTTAATAAAAATTTGGTCTCGTTTATCAAATCAAAGGATTTACTTTTATATATTAAATAAAACAATTCTACTACAAAGAGGTATAAATTAAAACTAAGAATAAATTATTACCGATTAAATATAATCAAACGATCCTGATTTTGTTAGGTTTTAAATATGACATAAAGTAATTTTGGAAATAAAAGGTGATTCTAAATCTATATCTTGTAATTTCAAAATTTTGACCTGGCAACCCTCTAGGTGGGTGATAATAAACTGGGTTGTTACTAAGTAATACAAAAATTAACCTCAAGAATGTATAAGGCTGTCAGCTAAATATCCAAAATATTATTAATAAACTTCGGTAACTATCGAAAAAAGAGAAATATAAGCTACTTATAATTTTAAAAAATAAATAGTGGCCTTAATCATTTTTACGAATTTTATTAATGTTTTAAGGTTAGAAAAATTAATAAAACTTAGCTTAAAAAGTTGTGAATTTTTAGGAAAAAAAGTATTAATTTATATTTTTCAGATAATAATAAGAAATGGGTAGTTATATTATCAAAATGGGAAGCATTTAAATTAAATGGGAAGTATAAAAATAATTTAATAGGAATTATAAATTTCTTACAAAACTTTAAAATATTTTTGATGGAAGATTTTAGAAATGTTTCATAATATTATAAAGTTATGAAGTCTTGAAATTTTGAGGTTTTTAAAATATATTTAGGTCATAGCTTAAAGTGAAACCGTTTTAAACTTAAAATATCATTGTAATTAAATGAATTTTTGATTCAGCATTAAAATTTAAATATCAATTTATATATTATAAAGCCATTTAATTTATCCTTAATCTACAAATATTGTTACTTTTTCCCTATCCACCGTAAAATGCCTATTCTTATTCAAAAAAATTGGAAAAAAATGGCTCCTAACTCAACCGCTTATGTAGATATGAATAGTGTTGTTAAACGACTCGATTTAAGTTTATTTTTATAAACGGCTAATTCAATATTTTAGTCAGAAAAATATTGTCTAAGCCTCAAGATTTCGCCTATAGATGCCCAAGCCATCGTACCACCTATGATCAAAATTTTCAGGCTTGCTTAATACTTTTCTGGATAAAATATTAAGATAGCCGTTTTAAAAAATAGACTCAAATCGAGCCGTTTAACAACACTAACGATGGGTACATATTTTGGAAGGCAAAATTTTGCTATTATTAATTTACACTATTTTAGTTTTGCCAAGTACTGGCCCTCTAATTTTCTTTACCATTGACTCTTAGAAAGCTATGAGCGCTCCTTATGTCCAAAACTGATACTGAATATTAGGAATAAAATCAACCTGTAAAAAAAATTATACTTGATACGGTATTTTGGCATCTGCTAAAAATTTGACAGCTATCAATAAGATCAATTATACTTAGCAATTAAAATATATTTTCCCATGGACTTGGACAGAGATTTAACGACTGGTGGAAACGTAGAAGTTGCAAAACTAGCTGTTGTGTGTGACCCAAATAGTAATACCATAACCAATAATAAAAAAAGAGCGATCATTCATGCAATAATAGATATTTTCCACAATCACTCTGGACCAACATCTAATGAACAAGAACGAAAGATTCTGATTGGAGCAGCATTCATATGCTTTAGTACGGGACTTATATGCACGAAAACAGTTGGTTCTACGATTGTTCCAGATGGAGAATGGCGAAAAATTCCATATTCTACATATCGCTTTGCACAAATAACTGCACAGCAACAGTCAGAAATCAACAATGCAATATCAAGTTATAATATATATGTATGTACAACATTGATAGCAGCTACAAAAATAAATTGGTACAAAGAGAATTGTCACACTGGCCAGGAGGAGTATACAGGTTATGTAAAAGAGGTGGTAACTAATCTATTTGACCCAGCAACTGGTCTCGCACTTAGAAGCATTATTGATCAAATTGGCCAATGGTCTTCTACAAGAGCGGTACTCATACAATTAGGCCTAGCCAATGTGTGCCCTCCATGCCCAGTAATTGAAGTAGATGCAAATAGTTGCATAAAACCTCGAGATGATATTAAATCCTTGATCAAAAGCAACCCAGCAGGAACAACTCTACATTTTATAGCATTTGAAATGGTAAGGCTTATGTTTCCCACAATAATTATGTGCCCAGGAATATCAGATTTCTCTCATTTGTACCATATCTGTTCAATCATTAATAAGCATCCAGCATTATATCATGTTAAGGCTGAATACTTGTGTGAAGGGATAACTACCCTTGCTGAAAAAATAGAATTCTTTGATGAGGATGCAGAGGCTTACCTTGGCAGAATTGGGACGTTTGGTAATGCAATTATACCAAATGGAATCCTTATGCAGGCTCTTCGCCAAAATTTTGGGAATTATCAAAATGCACCAGATTACAGTGTAGATTATGAAATTGCATTATCAAACTTTGATAAAGATGGGACTGTTGTATCTACCGCTAATTTGAGAGGAGTGGAAGAACAATTAGCTGTTTACCTAGCAATATCTAAAGTTTTTGGAAAAACTCCACTAGCTTTAGCTGAGTTTTCTCAACTGGTTAATAATATTTAGATATTGTTACTTTTTATTATAAAAATGCAATAAATTTTTAATTATATAAAATTTTATTTAGAAAAAATAATAATAGTGTTTTTCTGTATGTTGAGCCAATTTGTCTGGTAAGAGCCACTCCATGATGGGCATATTCAAATATAAATTATTTGTACTGAATTAATTAATTTCTGTTAAACATAAAAAAATTATACTGATGAAAAGAACATGTGATCAAGTTATAAACAAATTAAATTCCTTTATTGCCAAGCAATTTTTGAGGTGAAGAGTTTTTTTTATTGTTTCTTTTTAAGACATGCATTTTTTACAGCAAATTAGTTACCACTAAGAAAAGCCTTTCACAAGTAGTTTAATCATAACCTTGTTAAATATCCGATTGATTATCAAAAGAAATGACAAATGATTAAATTTTATTTTAAAAAATAATTATTATTAAGAATATTGTGAATTTTCAATCAAATTATTTAAATAAAAAAAAATTTGTCTAATAAACAAATAATTCATTGAATATTTGTATTATTAAAATCGAACAAAAATTCTAATTGAATAATTTATTTGTATTCAAGAAAAACGAATAATTTACTAATTGTTTTTGATTCAAGGCGAATCTATGATTCAATTCGTTTTTGAATATGCCTATTCTAAATGCCATGTTAAAAATAAATAGTTTTAATTAAAGTGAATAAAAAGAAATTTTTATTTATAAAAACAAATTTCCTATATATTTTTAAATATAAAACTTATATATATCATATAAAATCTAATTATAAAATATACAAATTTATAATGCTTTAAATTATGTTCAACTATTAAAATATAAAACCTATGATAAAAACTTAAAAATAATGCAAAATTTCAAATAACTACACTAAAAATAAATAAATTCTAAAAATATTTATTTTATATCTATGTATATAATATATAATAAATATTACAATCAATTATCACTTTAAATTAGAACATGAAGATTTTGAAGCTGATAATATACTTTTTGGACACATTTTACATTTGGTAAGAATAGTTTATTTAATGTAAGATGTTACTGTAAAGCATTTATTATATTTGGACTATGGTAATGTTCTGATTCTGAATTTTTAGAATCAGATCATGGTGAAATAACAACATCCATGCTTATGCTAATCTATAAAATATAATAACTTCAAATTACTAAACTATATTTTAGGACATAAAGAGTGGCTGATTAAAAAATGTAATAAAAGAAACAACTTATTAAGAAATAAAACTTTTCTCTAAAAAAAATTGGATTAATATTTTTTCTTTTCAAATGAATAAAAATAAGAAGATATTCTAAAATAGAACGAACGTTCAAGTTCAAAATTCGTCAAAAATAAAAAGAATGCTATTCATCATTTTATTCAAAAACCCCACTTCATTCACGAACGCGTTCATATAACATTACAAAAATTCTTATTCGTTACTTTTAAATAATTATTAAACATGACTAATATATATATAAATATTGCTAACGTAAAATTGGTGATTCTACAATTCAAAGCAAAAGATTTTTCCATTTCAATTTGATCTGGAATGGTTTCAACTTGCAATAATATATCGGGTATCTGTGATGGCTTTTATAAATAAACGATTTAGTAAAATAAAGAATGTAAAATTTATTTAAAAAAATTATGCTTGGTAATTAAATACCTTATCTACCATTATAAAATTGGCACATCTCATAAAAATATATAAATTAAATTAATCTCATTTTGATAGACACAAAATATATTATAAAACCTATATGTATAACACAAGAATTTTTAGAAATAAATTATAAAAAGTGGGTACGACTAAAATACACGCCCCTTATGAAAGAAATTTAATTTAAATTATATTAGTATAGAATCATATTTAGCTTCATAAAATAAGGCAGAAAATGTTTTTTTTTTATTTTTTAAAAAAATGGTAACATAATAAAATTTTAAAAATTATTTTTTTACATGACTAAAATACGCGCCCCTTATTAAAGAAGCTTAATTTATAAAAAAATGAACGTAGAATCCTATAGAGCTTATTAAAAGGTATAAAAAAATGTTAATATTATATTTTAAAACTTTTTATAACCTAGTGGGCTTTTGAAAAAACAATTTTTTTTTTGATTGAACTATGCGCCCCGTATCAAGGAAGCTTATTTCATAAAAAATTAATGCATAATCGTATTAAGCTCATTAAGAGGAATCTCGGAAGAGGAGATCCATACTCTCAATATTCAAGCATAGACAGATAAATGTAAACTTACAGCCAAGCATTTTCTTAACGCAATATGTCTGGCCGAATCCATGCCCAATTTCCAATTGAAGGGGAGAGATATTTATGAATTCCCAGCCCCCAAGTTATATGTTAAGGAAATGAATTTAAATTCATCGCTCGAATACTTAAGGGCTATCGCATCCAAAACACAGATATACGCCAAGTCAGTCGCCTGGGGATGGGACAAAATAAAATATGAGTCCCAAAACTCCATATGCAGATTCGTTGGAGGAGCCCCCCCCCCGAACCTCAACCCTGCCTATGGAGGTGGCCGTAAACAGGCAACAATTTCCAAAGGTAAACTAGGCACCACCGATGACGATGAGCCGACCATTATTTCAATCACCAACAAGAACGGAATCAAGCGAGGCACTAGGCCTAACCGTAAATGAATTCGTTCTCTCGCTCCCCCCGTCCGCCCAACAATTAGGAATTTCAGAGGCCCTAGCACCCTGGGCGAATACCTGCATCTCGTCGTTGGACAAAGAACACATTCGCCAATGGATCCGAGACGTCAGGCGCTAGAAGTATTCGCCAGGGGGGGGGGGTGTTAGAGGAAGAACCTGCCGAGGGAGACGACGCAGAAACAGAAGACCAAGAAGCTTCCTTCGACCTACCCATCACGGAGCAATTTGAGCACGAAGGGGAACTAATAATCCTGGCGAATATTTTTATGGATAGAATTTCCCCTTACGCCAACGCTGTCTTGCCTCCGTCAGCGCCAACGGTCGACAGCGCAACTATGGGACGATTCCATAAGTTGCTCAGACTGATGGGTATCGACACAACGGACGCAGTCCCAATAAATTTAGGAGCTTCTTTATATCTCGCGACGTTCATCTTAAAGCCACATCCTCTGCAATCTCCGTTTACTAGAAAAGTCGCCTTAGAGGATTTTGCCCTGAATTCGACAATCAAGCTATAGCGGATCATGGGGGGGGGGGGGTACTTTCGAAATAGATTCATTAGGCTCGCATCAAGATACCAGCCCATCATTGACCAACTATTAAACGCCGGGGTAATCGAGCAGACAGACACGGCATTTTGCTCACCCTTATTCTTAAATAATCTCGGATTTTTCGAATGTCTCAAAGAACTTTATCAAATATCCAGTTAGACTAAAAACGATAATGATTGCACCGATGCTAGCGAGCGCAAGAAAGGCAACAAAAATTTATTTAAAATCAGTTTTCTATTTAATCCCGCTAGCGCAATCAATGAGAAGATTCTTTGGCTTCGCTACGGCTAACAATAAATACCGCTACAAGACATTGCCAATGGGAGCCGGTTCGCCCTACGCTCTCCAAAATATAGTATTCTCTGTGCAAAAATAATCAAAAGGGCTAATTATTCTGTATACCTAGACGACGTCATCGTCTTCCACGCAAACGAGCGAATAGTTTTCGAAGATACAATGAGCCTCCTGGACCATGCAGCACTTACAAATCCCCACAATTTCTTTATCCCTGTTGAACAAGGAGTTTGAGAGATAATTATTTTTTGACTATAAATTTAGATAAATAATACGCCACTAAAATTTGAAAATATATTAATTAGAAATATATATAATCATAAAAAATATAAGCATTTAACATTACACCATTTATTAAATTTTAACATTGCTTATTTAAAAGTAAAGTTTAGAACTTCTTCCTTAAATCGGAATAAAGCAGCAGGAACATATTTTATATTGTACCTATTTTAAAACGTCCTTATTTTAGTGTATCTTTGTTAAAAATAATTTATTTATATTAAAATGTTTATTAGAATATTAAGAATAAATAGTTAACATTATTGCAATTTTCTCCTAAAAAGATATGTATTTTTTGTAAATTACTTCCATTTATGAAATATATTTCAATACTGGGATAACGCGCTCTCATCCTAGCTATCATATGCCTCCCACCCCCCTTAGATGGAACCAGAAAATTGTATTAAGATGTTAAGGTAGGCAGGGAGAATAACAAAATGAAGAAAGTTTTAATTTTATTTATTTAAAAACATCTATATATACTTTTCAAAAATAGTTAGTATAAAATCATTTTAAACGAAACTATTAAGTTAATAGTATAAAATCAGTCCGTAAGGTATTTTAATATTCTCTTTTCTTTTGATAAAGTTAAAAAAAAATTGTTAAGATTTTACAGAAAAACCATTTTTTTGAAAACTTATAACATAAATAACGAGGGCTCCTATCGATTTATAGCTTGTTTGAAAAAAATCAATTTCATTGACTAGATCCTATTGATAATCTAAGCTAAATTCTGTATAAGTAGCGTTATATTTACCAAAAAATTTCGATATTTCTAATTATATTTTTTGATTGGCAAAATGCTAATTCTGTATTCATTGTTAAAAAATAATGTATATTTAAGGATGGCGCGTATTTTAGTCAAAAAAAGGAGAAATTAAGTGTTTTTTCCAAATCTCAATAAGTTATAAATAATTTAATTTATAAACTTAATATTAACATTTTTTGATTCCTCTTAATGAGCTTAATACGATTATGCTTTAATTTTTAATATAAGCTTCTTTGATAGGGGGCGCGTAAGTCAAAAAAATATTTTTAAAAAAATAATTAATAATACCATTTTCTGAATCTCCTTAAAAAGTTATACATGATTCTGTATTCATTTTTTTAAAATAATGTATATTCAATGGGGGCGCGTAGTTTAGTCAAAAAAAGAAGAAATTAAGTGTTTTTTCCAAATCTCAATAAGTTAATAATTATTTATAAACTTAATATTAACATTTTTTGATTCCTCTTAATACGATTATGCATTAATTTTTTATGACATAAGCTTCCTTGATAGGGGGCGCGTAGTTTAGTCAAAAAAAATTTGTTTTATCAAAAGCCCACTAGGTTATAATAAGTTTTAAAATATAATATTAACATTTTTTTATACCTTTTAATAAGCTCTATATATTCTACGTTCACTCTTTATAAATTAAGCTTCTTTAATAGGGGGCGCGTAGGGACGCGTATTTTAATCATATAAAAAAAATATTTTTTTTAAATTTTACTATGTTTCTATTTTTTTTTAAATAAAAAAAAACATTTTCCGCCTTATCTTATGAAGCTAAATACGATTCTATACTAATATAATTTAAATTAAGCTTCTTTCATAGGGGGCGCGTAGGGTTTCTACCCTTTTATTCATATTTATTTGGAATATATTCTACTCACTAAGCGATGTAGTTGGCTGGTTTGCAGAGCTCCCTTTTCCCCATAAGGCCCTCTCCAGGATATGTGTAATTTACCTACATCAGTAACTTCAATAAAAGGTATTTTTTTTATATAAGAGGGAAATTTGTTAAAAATGAATAGTTATTATAATAATTCTTAAAAATGATTGCAAAAACATGTTATCCCCTCTTGTACTATAAATTTTTAAAGATATAATATACATTCAGATTCTTATTTTAAAAATGCTCAAATAAAATAAAGTTCAATACAATAATAATTTATATTTACGAGTTAATGTCTCTTTGTTTTGAATGGGTTTTTTCTTTATGTACAAACAAAATAGGTATTGTCTCACATCCATAGGATTCAGGCAATTGATTTTGTTAAATATGAATCTTATTTAATAAACATTAAAAAAATTTTTAATTATGATTAATAAAGTTAACAGTTTAAATGATGCCTTAATCTTGGTTCATAGGAGGATTAATAAACTTTAATAATTTTATAATATCTAAAAGAAATATAACAGAATTTGTGCATAAACAATGGTTCATACATCTATTATTGTTTTAAATGGTAGATCCATAAAAAATAATTTCTACATAAATATTTTATTTAATAAACCCAAAATAATTTAAAGAGCCAAAAGATGCTACTAGTAGAATGAGCTCACATTTTAAAAAACTTACAAATCAAAACCAAAAGAAAATTGGGTTCAAAAAATCAAAAATAAATAGATGCGATCCATAATAAATGGGATGGGGGGGGGGTTAAGGGAGCTTTAATCTCCCTGCAATGACAGCAATGATAGAGCAAAAGTGAATTTTTTTCTATATTCTTTGTCTAAATTTTTTTATATGATTAAAGATTATAATATAGTTATATTATTATTTTTAAATTGAAAAATTATTAGTTTTTGAAATTTGATATTATATATGACATAATATATGACAAATAAAAAGTATTTGAATATATGATAAAGATCAAATCTTAATTATAAATGATTCTTTATTAAATATACTCGTTATTGTTATCATAATTGGCATCTTTAACTATGTAATTTGAGTGAGGAAACAAAGCCATTTGTTCAAGCACCAAGGGATGGTTGGTTAAATTTTGTACTTGAGTTTCAAGAAAAACTTTACCAGTCTTTTTATGTTTAATATATTACATAAATATATATTTGGATCAGGTGAATACTTAATAATTCTAATAATAATTAAAAATTAATTACTTCAGAATTATAAAATTTTGTTTTAACATCTAATGGTTTGTTGACTTGAAATTTAAAAAATTTTCTAAAATGCATTGTCTGCCCTTCATTTGCTGAATATGTAACTTCACATACCAAACTTAATAGGAGATGATACAAATAATAATAAATTTCAGTATTACACATGAGAGCCCAATTCCTTAACCTCATGCTGAATAATTTGATCATAATTATTATTTACATCAATTTCCTTTATAATATCTGGGTTATAAATATTTATTTTTTGAGTCCCAGTTTGGATATAAATCTAATGCAAGATATATAAATGCAAATAAAGTTAGGTTACATTTAAAATAATTTGAAAGACTTTTTGATCTGATTGCAAATTATGTACTGTGACATAGGCTTTAAATGTTTCACCAAGATATATTGTACTAATGTTTATGTTAAATTATAATTTAAAACTATATACCCAAATGTTTGAGGAAGCTTCAACATTACTCCTACAGAGGATGGTACATCATACTCGGAACATATAAATTCATTGAGCAAATCTTTTTTTAGAATATCAGTCCCATAATCCCTAGTCTCTCCACAGAAAAACATATTTGAGTTAAATGTAGGTAAAGTAAGCCGCATGACTATAATTAGGATATAATCATATCAAACACTTAAAATTAACCTTTCAACTCAATTAAATGTAGTTTTTCAGTCACACTCATCGTATTTAAATTTAACCATATGTTTTAGGATTGATGTTTTAATGGTATCGTCCCTTTTTTTAATTAGGTGTTTTGTCGTTTTGCTAAAACTTAAATTTTTCCAATTGATTCCCATTGATTCCCAAAATTGTAAGTATAATCGTAAATTTCTATGTCCCACCTAAAAGGAATGAGCGATTAGCCTTTGTAGATATAATGATTAACATAATACACTCCTTACCAGAGAGATATAACATCATAATATTGGGAGATCTAAATATGGATATAGGCAGAGAAGTGGAATATATGAATAGAAATGTCACTGGGCATGCTACCTTAGAACAGAGTAATAGCGAATACAGTAAGAAATTACTTGACTTCTGTTGTAATAAAGATTTCAAAATTGAAAACACTTTTTTTAGTCATAGTGATAGGAATACGTATACCTTTGTAAGAGCTCAGCAGCAATCACAAATTGACTTCTTCATCTCGAATATTCATCGTTGGTTCGTGGATGTTAAAGCCCTAACTAATATGAACTTGTCAGATCATAGACTGCTTAGAGCAATTATTATAGTTAAAAATTTATGGGGGTATCATAACGGAAATAGACAATCTTCTACTAGATCTAGCGCTACTCCCTTGTGTAATGTAATAACTCGCAAACTGAGTAAAATAAGAACATTAGATGATGCAAGATATTTTGATGAGATATTAAGTGGGAAAGAAGCCAGCTATTTGAACACTATTAGGCTTGCAAGTGTTGAGAAAAGCTGGAATCTTTTTAAAGATGCCCTAGTCGATACATACAAAGTATTGCCAGATGTAAGTCTTATCCATAGGAAGGAGTGGATGGCGAATGATACCCTGGAGAAAATAAACCAGTTAAGAACAGCGTTTAGCTCTAATAAGGATCTTTGGAAGATGATACAAAGATTACTGCGGAGAGATAGACGGGTTTATAGTGCGAAGAAAGCGTTTGATATTGACAAAGATGTAAGAGAAAATAGACTACATGATGCATATAAGAAATTAAAATATTTTTGTAAACCTAACAGTTTTCAGAAGTAACCCTCAATAGTATTAAATGATGGTAAAATAATAATTGATCAAGAAGAACAGATGGCGCTGTGGCTCGATTACTATATAACGGTTTTCGATGGACGTAAAGTAACTAGAGCAACAAGTGTAAATATAAATATGGCTTCACCCCAGTCTGGGTTCACTGTAATGGAAATTATGAATGTAATAAAGAAATTACGAAACAATAAAGCTCCGGGGCTTGACAACATTACGGCGGAACATCTGAAGATTGCACCTAGAACGACATCTTCTTTCCTACTAGCCCTATTCAATAAAATATGGGAAAACAGAAGTACCCCTACTGAATGGAACAAGTCCCTTATATGCAATTTTCCCAAAACTGCAAACCCTCTGAAATTCACTGATTATCGGGCGTGTGCTTTAACATCTTGTGTGTCAAAGATATTTATGGAACTTATAAAGAATAAGATTGTTCATTCGACGCCTAATCTTTTTTCTAAATATATTTGTGCTTACAGGCCAAATAAAAATATACTAGAACCCATATTATCTCTGAAGATAATAATGCAAAAGTGTTATAAATATAAGATTCCGTCATTTTACACATTTATTGATTTCAGTAGAGCATTCGATAATGTTAATCATGAAGCGTTGTGGGAAACGCTTGGAGAATGTGGTATTGAAACCCAGATAATTCGTATCTTAAAAAATCACTATTCAAATTTATTCGCTTGTTTCAAAATAAATAATAAAATCTCTCCCTTTTTCAGGATTAAAAAAGGGGTAAAACAAGGCTGTACCCTATCACCTCTCCTGTTTAACATAATCATCAATAAAATAATAAAAGTAGTATTGGGAGCTGCAGATCTAGTAGACATAGGATCTGTTGAGAAAATTTTTTTTGTTAATAGGATAATATCCTATGCAGATGATATTGTAGTGATTTCGAAAAGCATTGAAGAGACCAAAAATCTACTTTATCTAATTGAGACAGTAAGCTATAGAGTTGGACTTAGGATCAACTTTAACAAAACGGTTATTCTTCCCTCCCCAAATGCGCCTTTAATTCAAGATTTTACAGTTGGAGGGAATACAGTGAAAATAGTAGAGAATATAAAATACTTAGGGGTAATCTTGGATAACAAAGAAAGTTGTAAAGATGAGATGAAGATGAGAATACAGAAAGCTAGAGGTGCTTTCTACAGATATATGAAAATATGGAAAGCTAGCGAAATTTCAGTGTTTACTAGATTGAGAATATTCAACTTGTTGATTGTTCCAATTGCATTATATGGTGGAGATATCTGGGAGGCAAACAAAACAGAGATTAGACGGCTTCAATCTTTTATAAATAATTGTCTTCGTACGATACACGGGATTTTCTATCCAAGAGTATTCTCTAACTCGAATCTTTGGAGGAAGTCTACTCACACACCAGTGAATATTACTCTTAAGAAAAGATGGATTCAGTTATTAGGCCATGTAATAAGAAACTCTGATAATAATTTAGTCCATGATGCGATAACATGGCTGTACTCATATAAAGGTAAACAGTACACAAAATACAAAACATTATGGTACTATAAAACTATAAAAGATATAATGGATCTAAACGTTAACATGAAACAATTCATTAAACTGAACAACAATAAAAGATCCATTAAAAAACTGTTTCGCATCAAGAAAAGTTACCTTCAATAAATACAAAAATACATTCTCATAATGTATGTTACATTATCATCACCCATTAATCCTATAGTATATTTACCATCGTAATAAATTTCAAAAAATTTAAACTCATCATTATCAAACATTTCCAATACCATCATACATTCAAATCCTCTCATAAGTATATTTTATATTTCCTTACTAAAAATTGTTTTAATATAGTAAATATTTTTAATTGTAAATTGTCCTCAACCCACCACAACGTAATTAACTTTCACTGTAGTTATTGAGTATAGGCTCTTTTTTTGTCCCATTCCCTTTTATATAAGCCTATAGAGGTTTAAGTAATATTTTTCGAAATGTTGCGCCTACAAGTACGTGCGGCTTGCCCACAAACGTGTGGAGGGCTCCTCATATTTTAACTTTTATACCCAAATTTAATTGTTCCAATAAGATGGAAATGAGGAAAACCTAGCGTAGCTCTGTTGCATTTCAACACTAGAGGGCATAAGCGCTATATATCACGTATCACGTACGTAAAATTGTAAGTTAATTTTATAAATTTTTAAATATATTATAAGTTTATTTAATATTTATAATATATTTATAGTTAATTTTATATTTTAAATATAATGTAAGTTATTTTTATATTGATTCCCAAAATTTCTAAGTTAATTTTATAAATTTTTAAAGATATTTATAGTTAATTTTATATTGGCTTGTGTATTTATATTATAGTATTAAATGTATGTGCAGAATGCCAAAGTAAAATATCAAATTAATATTTACAATAATTTTTCAAAGTTATTAATCTACAAGAACCAGTTTTGGATAACAAAAATAGTATAAGTAAATTTTAATTATATTGCTATAACTATTTTTTAACAAAGTTATGAACCAAGAAGTCTTGGAGGAAATAGATGCCTAACAGAAATACCATTAGTCCAAGTAAATAGTATCTTTTAGATATTTATATCATTTTTAAACAAAGCTATTATTCAAAACAATTCTAACTATCAAATGGTTCAATATGGTTTGATTAAATCAAAATACAACAATAATAATATGATCTATTCTAACAAATATTTAATTCAATTTATACATTATCATGCAAAAAAAAAAGATTGCATTTTTATATATTAATTAAAAATTTTATTGTGAGATATTTGATATAAATTTTAATAATGTTATATCAAAGATATATTTATAAAACAATTGTGCTGTATATATTAATAGATCTCGAGTATTAAGAGTTTACCAAAATATTGTAAATTGTCTGCAATTTATTTTTTAATATATACTGTTCTTGTATTAATATAAACATTAATTGCCATTTAGCCATTTAAATTTAATTTAAAATAAAAAGCATTTTTTAATTTATTTGTCAAATCTGTTACAACGTTTCAAGGTTATACAATTTTATAATTGCTTCAAATATTTGTGGCCATTTTAGGTCATTTGACGTTTTTTCATAAATGTTCATACGAACTAGTTGACCCTAACCAATAATAGTTGTGCTTCAAGACGGGTTTTATTTATAAGTTATCTAAATTCAAGGAATATTGAACTGAAAGAGTTTTTTTAATTGGATAAAATTTATTAAAAACTAAATTTTATTATATTATATTCATTCTAAGTTTATTCGAAAGTCAATACAGGGATGTCGATAGCCTTTACAATTTCTGGAGGCTCAACTAACCCATGCCCCTAATTTGCGGGAATTCGGCCCGCTTTTGTCCGGCCTTCGGTCGGGTTTTATATTATTATATAATACTTTTTTTAAATTTGCTAACTCTGAATAATTATTCTGAATTTTAATTTTCTTATTTATTATATTATGCATACAAAATAAACTGACATAAATATTAAAAAAATACAAGACATTTCTAAAAATAAAATTTTTTAATACAAATCTATTTATTATAGTATAAAATATTTTCGATTGCTGATATAAAAGAAATTTGTGCCTAAAGAATTACAAGTGATAAAAAAGATTAATTAATTCATACATATGCCTCAATTTATAATAGTTTTTAAAAACCACATAATGCAATAATATAATTCTTAGCAGCTTACATTGACAAAAGGTTATCAAAATATAACTCTCTGTTACCATTTTACACATTTATAAATGGACTAATAAGGAAAAATTTATAGGCCTAAACCAAATCAACAATTCTTGAAGAAGATAGTATAAACGCCCATTCCAAATCATAAAACTATTAAGTGGTTAGAGCTTCCTTATAGATGAACATCATGGTAGCTAAATAAGTAATCGAGAAAATAATTGTGAGATTTTAAATTTCTAAAAGATTATCATCATT